AGACAGTAACACTCTTGCTGACTTGACAGCTCCAGAAAATAAATAATAGCCTTATTCTAAGTACTAGATGTTTAAGTGTCCTACGTGTTGTTTAAATTATCCATTACATCCTATTTTACTTGTCCAGAGGGTTCGAAAATATATTTAAATCCAAGTCACATGTGAAAAGGTTTACGTTAGGCTTTTCAAATCATTTAGTTGAATTTTTCCAATTTTTTAAATTAGGTGTGTTAAGATGAAATTTGTATCACCAATTAATTGGAATATTGTAAAATAGTAAAATTTGTTGACCAGAATAAAGATTGGGACATATTATTCAGTTACAACAAGAGTGGTATTGAGCCTTTAAATATGCATGCTGCTCTTAATGGGCATATTTAAACAATAAAATATTATCTTAACTTAATGGTGCTCTTAATGGGTAATACAATAAAATCTTATAATTTCAATCAGATTTGTTTGGATTTGTTGTATATTGAAACTGGCTCCTAAAACAAATCCTTTAATTCGTTAATGTGCTCTTCAAGGTCCAATCACCTGTCTGATGGTGGTGGTTCAGTGGGTAAGACGCTGGCTCGCTAAGTGGGAGGTCTCGGGTTTGTTCCCGGTGTTGAGTTCCTCTGGATTTTCCAGAGTGGTTCGCTCTTGTCAGTGGTGCAGGACGTTTGGATGAATACGATATAAGAGTGGGTCGCAGCGCCGCTGTCCGTGCTAAACTTCCCTCAAAGCACACTGTAATTACCTATTATATGGCCGACTTTATTAGCTTAGTCGGTTCAGAAAACTAGGACGTTATTCCCCATTTCATTTTCTTGATTGATGTCGGCCAACATGTAGCCTGATTCTACAGACCGTGTTAATTACTGAATAAACTGTGTTATATACTCCAATAGTTACCCGAATAATTAATTACAATAAGTGAATTAGCGATACGGTCTTAAGAACACGAGCTATATGATGCTATTAATTATTCAATAGCTGCCTTGAAAAATATTAATGAAAGCTACCTAACAGAGTAAATATTGTAACCAGTGGCGGCGCCAGGGGGGGGGGGGGACAAGGGGGGGGGGGGCATTTGCTACCCCATTTATCTGGTCTGCCCTCTGTTTGCCCCCCCCCCCTTCCCATAATTTTAGAAAATAAAAAAAAATATTTGTGATACGTTTCGGTAATCAATACCTTCTACGGTGAATAAATCCCACATCCCCACTCAGTCATAAACTTGCATGTTGTAGAGCATTTCCGACAGTCTATTTTTCAAAATCTTCTTGGCGAGGTCCCCAATGGACTCGCTACTTTGGCGTTCACAGGGGGAATTCGTTGAGGTTCGCATGTCCGTTCGTTTGACATTTTGTTCTCTAGTCGGATAAACTAGTGATCAGGCGACGGACGGTATCTGGTCAAATCTATTTATCTCGACGATCGGTGCCTGGGAATACTATAAGACAGCATTTCCGGCAGTCTATTTTTCAAAATTTTCTGGGGGAGGACTCCCTACTTTGACGCTCGTGAGTGGGCTTCGTCGTGATTCGCAAGTCCGTTCGTTTGACACTTTACCTCATCGATCAGTGCCTGAATTACTGCCAGGCTGCATTTCCGGCAACCTGTTTTTCAAAATTTTCTGGGAGAGGCCCCCTACCCCTAGTTGAAGCTCGTGCCTTTGCCCCCTTAACCTTGGACTTTGCGCCAGCTTTGCCCCTCCAATCATCGACGGCTGGCGCCGCCACTGACTGTAACAAAGGAAAATTATTTATTTATTTTTTATATAAAAGTCGTCTATAAAATCGACAACTAATCTATTCTGTAAAGTAAGATAATGTGATATGTTTTCTTGTCAAATTTAATTGGTATGCACGATCGCGCATGAACAGTAATTTTTTGGGTGTATTGTTCTTGCTATGGTTGTTATTTATAAAATCAATAGTATTTCTTTTGTATTACATTATATTCCGTTATATGCAGTCTTCAGTATTATATAAATTATACAAATATAACATAATAAACTTACGATAGCGTGTCAGTTTTTTAATGCCTTCCAATGAAGATGGGTTTAATTAACCATAAAATAATAGCCATTTCAAAATTCGGAATTTTGCATCGCACTTCGTGGGTTTTTTCCTTTACTGGTGACAAATAATAATATTATTTTTCCTCGATTGGTGAGGAAGATGTCAGATACTACTAAAAGCACTGGCATTGAACACCGGTCCCCCAAATCAATGACATTTTTTAACAAATGGCTGGCAGGTCTGTTATCATGTTTACCACTAACAAGACCATAATTCTAATATTATAGTAGAAACGTTACATAATCAGGTGGTGTCAAATATCTCACGTACTGAGGACAATAATTATATTTTGCTTGGATGAGCGCGCGCGCGCGCGTGTGTGTGTGTGTGTGTGGGGGGGGGGGGGGGTAGCAATAGAAATAGCGGGCATGCTAGTTTTGTTTTTGTTTTATTGGCAATCTCGACAGTTACCCAACCCCTTAGTATACACGCTGAAACGGTTTTGTTTTTTGAAGACTAAACAACATTATAAATTCAAATAGGAAATATATCAACCATAATATCGAGCAAAGTCTATGAGGAAACATGAATCAGGATAGTGCCGTTTCTACTGAGTTATGCTCAAATATATCAAGGAGAAAACAAATTGTTCCTATCAAATAAATTCATAACAACTTTATTATACAAACAGAAGCACACAGGAGGTAAAAACCGAAAGTCGGTTACGCGTTTGTCCATATCTAGCAGCCCCACGCCCCACATGGGGAACATCTGTCTCTAAACGATTGCTTATACGTAGTTATGGGATCCTTAGCTACTCCCTTTACTTTACAGTGTTGCTTTCATTGACTCTGATACTCATGCCCGCTTGAATTAACGTGATGGCGTTTTCGATGTGTATTGGGTATCAACCTTGGCCACTGTAGAAGTTGTAATGACCCTTGGTTTTTCAGAGCCATATTTGTCGTACCCATACTTAGCCACGTGATCCCCGATAATATTCGGGAGCCACGGTGGCTAGGTGGTTAAGACGCTGGCTCGGTAGCCTGGAGGTCGGGTGTTCGATCCCTGCATTGGCCGAGAAAGTTCATCTGGATTTTCCGACGTGGTTTCCCCTTGTCAGTGGTGCAGAACGGAGGGCCTGACAAGTACAGCTGTCTAGTCCTTCGGATGAGACGAAAAACCGAGGTCCCATGTATACATTGGAATGCACGTAAAAGATCCCTTGGCAGTTGGAATTCGATATAAGAGTAGGCGATAGTGCCGCTGCCCGGGCAAAATTTCCCTCATAGCACATTGTATGGCATATGCCCGTCTTCATTAGCCCAGTATAGGAGCAGAACAGTAGGACGTTAAACCCCATTTCATTTCATTTCATTTTAATGATAATATTGATTACATTCCTGATCTTTTCGGACGTAAACATACTGGTTTACAGGAGATCTGTGGCAAAACAGGATCTTTTTTCAGAGATGGTGTCGTTCTTTACGTACATGTAAATATTTCTCATCGAACACAATCAATATAGACCAGCATTATTACGCAATATCCCGTTGTATTCTACGATAAGGCACAAAGATTGCAACGTACATATACCTATTAAATTACCTACATTGACATTTACCAAGTTTAAACCAACAAATCCAGGTTGATTATTTAAATTTTGTATATTATAATAGAATAATAGAATTCGGTTGGAATCCATTTTGAGATTTTTTCTTCGGTATTTGAACAGGGGATCTGTAAACGTTCCCTAAAATTTCCCCCCCCCCCCCAGGAAATTGTCCAACAAGGCAGTTTGCAAGCTATGTAATAGGGTACAATCATCAATAGTTTCTAGGGCAGCAACATCCTTTTCACTTCAAAGATCTCCAATTACACGACATTCGACTATTATTCAGACTATTTTGAACACAAAAATAAAAAAATAAAAAAATTCAAACATATACAATAATTCTATATTATAGTTTCCCGGTGTATAAACACATCTCGAAACATTGATTTAGACCAAACGGCCGCTGAGCGACAACCACTAAATATGTAACTAGCTTCCTGGCATTTTATGTTTTAAAACTCGGTTCGATTAATTACGGTTCGCAAAGACGATACTTACTTGTAAAAAGAAATCAATCACAGATCGCAGTTGTTTCTTTAATTACAGTCTGTGTAAATGTTATTTGGGCCAACCACCTCAGTTCAATAGGATTTAAAACGTAAATGAAATGAGGTTTAGCGCCCTAGTTTTCTGCACCGAGCTAATGGAGACAGGAATACGCCATACAGTGTGCTATGAGGGAAATTTTGTCCGGACAGTGGCACTAAAACCTACGCTTATAAGGAATTCCAATTGTAAAGGGTTCTTTTACCTTCACGCCAATATGTGCAAGGGGTCTCGGTTTTTCATACCATCCGAACGACTAGACGCTGTCCTTTCCAGACCCTCCATACTCAACCACTGAAAAGCGGCAACCACGATGTAAAATCCTGGAAAACTTTCTCGACCAACACCGGGATCGAACACCGGACCTCCTGGTTAGTGAGTCAGTGCTTTATTCACGGAGCTACCGCTGTATTCGACTTTAAACATGCATTATGCAAGAGCTTAATCTGTTTATGCAGGTCTACCTGTTATCTAAATTATTAATTAGACATTAATAACATAATTAATTCTCGATGTCGTCGTTAGCCTGCGATATTTAGTGGATTTGAATACATGAAATAACCGTAAAACCGGATAATTGAGACTTTAATTATTATCGTAACAACGGTAGTAATGACGACCGAGGCTAGCCTAAAAAATGAATCGTTAATATCTAGGATCAGAGTGAAGCAATTTGACTGAAATTTTTACCATATTCTCTTTTTATTATTTATAGTTTAACTATTATAGCGAGACCTGTCAGCTCTTTACCTAATGCCCCTTTAAAAATTATTTTAAGTATAAATATTCTAGATTACATTTAATACATACACAAATTAAAATTTACTTACCAAACTAATGTACCACTGGTCCGACTGGCGACTCTTCTTAAATTCCGAGATCATTCTGGATCACTTCATGAGTCCATTTTTGAAACTTCAAGCAACTTTAGTTAGTAAATGTTGCATGTTAAAGCGTGCAAGGGACAGAATATATTTTTATTTTTGAAACTTCAGGCAACTTTAGTAAATGTGGACGTGTTAAAGTGAGCAAGGAATAGAATATAGTATGAATAGTATCACAGTTATAATAGTGTAAATCACCTATTGGCTGATAGATCGATAATTCGTAAGCAAGTTAGTCACGTGGATAAAACAATGGACCTATCATAGTACACTATATAATAATAGTAGACATTACATTGTTATCTGTAAGAGTCACCCATCTTGATTAATTATTCAAATACTAGTAGATCATCATTATAAATCACCCGTTAACTGTCTTTTACTGAGTAACTGAAAACAACACCGTTTGTTTTTAACCTTTCGGGTATAGGATATAGGTCTGTATGATTATTGTTTATTGTGTCGAATAGCAAATAAAAGATCGACTTCCCACAGGGAAATTGAATTATTTACTCGATAGTCTGACATTAAAGGAGCTAAATCGCTAACATTTGGAACCTAGAAATTGAGCCAAATGGGTTGCAACGCATACAATAATGAAAGGTGCTCTGTTTAATGTATTGAAGTGGTTAAACAAATGGGTGACAGCGAGAACTGGGTTAAGTACGTACCTTGTATTATTCTACGAAATTCTTAGACCCCCTCACTGACAGTTCTGCTACCATAAATTTCTGGAAGTGTGTTACTGCTGCCCAGCCATCGGGTGCACAGATTAGACCATTTAGATACAATAAAGTTGACGTAAGAAGGTGTCCGAATGAAACACTTACCCAAAAATGGTAATTGCCCCACCCTAATAGCCGATGTAGCCAAACGTTTAATATAAATTAAAGAGTGCGATTAAATTTGCTTCAGACATCGTTAAGGTTTCTAGAGGGACGTATAGCCGACTCGTCTTAGAGGCCGGATACAGATATCATGTAGATTTATTAAGACGAGTGTGGCTATGGCCACCTTTATGACGCTAACCTATTTTCAGACATCATTTTTAGCACGTTCCCACAGCTCCCTCGGCTTAGAGGCTGGGATAGAGACACCATGCGGGGCTCTTAGAAGGATGTACCCGCAGCCTGTGGCTCGGCGCTGGGTTAAGACATCATACAGAAATTTTAGAGAGACATATACCTTTAGCCGCCTCGGCTTCGACGCCGGGGGAGATCATAAAGCGGCGTTAAGATTAGATAAAGATCTGACATTTCTCGCTATAATATTTTAAAAAATGGATAATGAAACGAGAATGTGCTGAAAATTTCAGTCAAATTCACTCTGAGCCTACATATCGGCGATACAATTATAGTCTAGCTTCGATTGTCATTACTTCCGTTGTTACGAAAATAACCAAAATCTAGATTATCCATTTTATGGCAACCGAATCAACCAAAAAACGTATTTAAATCTACACCTGATGGCATCGAGAGTTAATTAACGTCTAATTAATAATTTATATAACATTTCAGGCCTAAAGAAAGACATGCAATATTCAGATTTATAGATCTTGCATAATGCATGTTTAATGTATTATGTGAGTGTATGTAAAGTGAATTACATCCAACTTTTTAATTCATTTTATTGTAATGCGTAATCAATTATGTTCGGTGAAATACACGAACAATCCAAATTGAACGAGTTTCGTTTGCGCCTGCTTAGTATATTTTACACGTGTTTTTAAAATTTATTTTGTCGTTTGTCATTTTTAATTACTTTCGCATTTTTAATGCAGTTCGGGTTAAATATGGTTTTATTTTTTTGACAAATATTTGCACATCGTTGAGATTCCTTCAGGGTTCCTGTAGGGTTCGTAGGTTATGTTGTATAAAATATTATATTTATTAATGACAGGTAATCATTATACCATACTTCTATAAACACCACTAAATCTAACAATGATTGGGTTATCTTATTAAATAAATATCCCCCCTCAAGCCAATATATTATAACGGCATATTGTATAGTGGTTGTATAGGGATTGTTGTACTATTGATTATATATATAAATGATTAGAAAATCTGTGTCTAGTTGTATTTATTCATTCATCAATTTTATCTCTAATGATATTCAGGCACAACTATAAAATAAGTTATAAATTTTATTTCTATTGTAGTATATAAGTTATTCGTTCAATGATTTTCAGTTCTATGCGCAAATAGAATATTTATCTATTTTTAAGTGGATTTATATTCCGTATTTATTTTATTATAATTTTCCAATGGCAACTCCCTTTGTAATGCCATGTGCAGAAAAGTGGGATATTAAACCCTATTTCATTCATTCGTTATTGCAAGTAGTTGTATCTATAAATAAGGCTATAGTCTCGAAAAAATGACAGATCATCTGCTAAAAAAAACCGAATTACCTCTATAGTGAAGAATTCAATGATGTAAATCCGAAACGTTGGGAAATGCTGAAAATAAATTGGGTTCATCCCCTGACCTCAATGCTTTCTACCAAATATGAAAAACATCCGTTACAAACTCCAGCCTCTATCTTGGTAGAATGAATATGCTTCATACCAATTGTTTAAAAACTGTAGCCTCCGTGGCGTTCACAAGGTTTTGGACAGGGGGGGGGGGGACTCCGGAACACAAAGTCGCAGAACGTTGAATATCTACATAATAAGGTTCGTCCTTTCATGACCACAAGCTTCACACCGAATGTGAAAAGAATCCGACAACAAACTGTAGCCTCTATCGCGCTCACAAGCATATTGTTGACGGACCGACGGACATTGTGACGACATAATACGCCCATGCTGAATTGTGGGCGGATAATAATGTATTTATGTTTTCATTCATCCTGTTACAATTATTTTTTTTAAAAATATTTTTATGTCCGGATTCTACAGCCTCTATCGCACTCACTTACAAGCTTTTCGTCAAGGGGAGGGGGGGGGGGGGGTTCTGTAACGGAAAATCGATAGGATTCATCCTCTCGTGGCCACAGTGCTTCACATCAATGAAATGAAATGAAATGAAATGGAGTTTAACGTCCTACTGTTCTGCTCCTAACCTGGGCTAATGAAGACGGGCATACGCCATACAGTGTGATATGAGGGAAATTTTGCCCGGTCACCAGCACTACGGCCTACTCTTATATCGAATTCCAACTGCCAAGGGATCTTTTACGTGCACGCCAATGTGTACACGGGACCTCGGTTTTTCGTCCCATCCGAACGACTAGACAGCTTTCCTTGTCAGCCTCTCCGTCCTGCATCACTGACGCCGGAAAATCTGGATGAACTTTCTCGGCCAATGCATCAAATTTTAAAAAAATCAGTCAAAAACTATAACCTCTATCACGATCACAATGTTTTCGTGAAAAAAAGGCACAATTCCGGGACGAAGAGTCGTGGAACGCTGAAAATCGATAGGATTCGTCCTCTCATGAACACTATGCTTCACATCAAAGCTTTAGCCTATATCGCGTTCACAATGTATTCGGACATGGGATCATAACGCAGTAACGAAAAGTCGCGAGACGCTGAAAATGGATACGGTTCTTTCTCTCTGTGACCACGATGATTCACACTAAAACTCAAGCCCCTGCCTCGTTCACAATGTTTTCGGTAAAAGGGGCATAAATCAAGAACGAATAATCACGGAACGCTGAAAATCGACAGGGTTCGTCCTCTCGAGACCACAAAGTTCTAGCCCCTATCGCGTTCACAAGCCAATTGTTGACGGGTCGGCGGACTGGGTGACGACATAATACGCCCTCACTGAAATGAGTGTGTATAATATAATAACTTCTTTTTTCTTTCAGTCTCCATCCTTTAAATGCTTGGATTCCATTGATATTAATTTTGAAGCGATCGCAGAATAACTTACAGAGATATATTGCAATATATATATATATATACAAAATGTTCTTAGTCGGGCTGTAAGCCAAAGGCAGAAGTTAATCTACCAGTGGTGGTACCATTTCTAATATTTATACAGCGAAAAGGTGCTAAGCAAATAACAAGTAGTAGTCATCATATAGCACAAAATAATAATACCCCCCCCCCCCCCACACACACACACACACACAACACATAATTAGCAACAGAAATGTTCAAATATTAAAAAAAAAACTTTTTTTTAAAAAAGACACAATGACAAATAAGCAAAGAGCTTCGAAACACGTCCTTCGCTTGTGACTGGGCAAGCACGCACTGATTTTCGAGGGCAAGATGCAATCTCACGTGATCTCATAATGTTAATATTGGGTGTTGAAAAATTAGCTGCTAGTGTTAGAGCCTAATAAGCCCGAGGCCAATGGCCTAAGTAAACTAATTAGTCTACATTTTCCACTCGTACTTGAGAGAGGAGCGATTCATATAATAATATAATATGATCTCAATTAAAGAGGAATAAATTGGATATGTTAAAATTTAATTGTATGCAAAAGTTTTTGAAAAAATCCGTTATGTCAGACATTTTGAACTGTATATATTCTACCACAGAAATATAGTCCTATGATTCTACCGTCAAGCCTAACACTTTCTAATATCTAATCGTCGGACATTTTAAAGGGTCCGCAGCAGGCTATATTTATGCTTGTGGTACAAGGGAGGTAACCCCCAATAGTAAATCAGTTATTGGGAGAGTTAAAAAAAAAATCCTACAATGCCATCAAAAGTAGTAGGATTACGATGATTTAGACAAATAACCCGTTAAAAGTACCCACAAAATAATTTGTACAGATAATCTCGTTTCATTAAAATTTATAGTAGTGAATTTTGCAATTTCCGTTGAAGAGATTCGTGGGATTCGAACCTTCGTCAACAAACATGTCTTTTCCAGACATACACTGCTGTTCCATGGTAAATATTATATGTTTTTATTAATTATCAGTATTTATAATGAAGTTTTCAATGATATATGTCACGAAATCTCTACGATAAAAAGCAGTTAACAGCTAATAACGCTTGGAATTGATTCTCGTTTTTGCATAGCCTTGTTTGTCTTGACGTAATGTAAACGATCTTCTTTTTTTTCACTGGATATTCAAGACTTTGTTACTAAAGACGCTTGATGGTTCAAAATTTAGACTATATAACTTTAATGAAACGAAATTCTACCGAGCGTTAAATGTAAAATTAAGACCCCCAACTGTTGGTTCGTGGGCAATCAAAAAAAAAAAAAAAAATATCACTGCCATTTCCAATTTTTTTATTCTAATGTAAAAATGAATATGTTCATGGTCAATCAAAAAAAAAAAAAGCTTCTGTTTCCAATCTTTTTATTCTAATGTAAAATCCAATATGTAGGTAAGGTAATGATGAAAAATATACAATATATGAAATACAAAAGGAGGCGTTAGACAAGAGCTAACCCTATCCAGGTGGAGCTTTGCAAACTGGATAACATATATAACGGAGCAGTCCCAAATATATTTCAGTGAATAAAACTGGTTAATTCAGTGTGAAAAAATCTTAGAAAACAGTCCTGCACAGCTATATATCGGAAGTGCTTATGAAAGAAATACACAAGTTCTAACCTTCTGTTTTGATATGCAGTCACTTTATTTTTGTACAAAGAATAAATGAGTAAAGTTAATACAGAGGCAAATTGATGTAGGCCTACTTATTATAATACTGTTTTAAATATTATTTTCAGTTAACAGCAGAGAATTTAGAATTAAAGAAGAAATACAACAGATTAAAACAACAAAAAGAAAAAATACAAAATCATCTAGATGTTATTTTAGAACAACAGAAAGTAGAAAAACTGTTGAAGAATTTTGTTACAACCAGAAAGTATGACACTTAATGACAGTTATTAGACCTACTCAGTAGATCTTGATGTGAAATATCTGCATTTCTATTATGTCAATTTATGATTTCATTATCAAGTAGAGTACATGATTTATTTTGAGGAATGGAAATACCTGAAAAAGAAATAAACTTGTGATTTAGTTCAAAATAAACTGATGGGATTTTCGATTAGTGCTGGGACAAAATCTGTATTAGCCTATTTAATTTTGTTGAAATGTTAAGTGGAAGTCCATTTGTTTATTAATACTCAGGTTTTTTTGTCTTAATAATCTGTCAACAGCTATATCTCAACATCGGCTCTATCTGTGGACCTAAGAGGGGTGGATAGACCGAATGGGTAGGACGTGCATGCTGTATCATAAGGTCTGTCATTGAGTAAACTGGTGTGGTTTCGATTCCCCAGTTGTACGTGACAAGGAGTAGGGTCGCTTGTTCAATCTCGTGGGTTTTCTCCGGGTCCTCCGGTTTCCTCCCACTGCCAAAGACCCCTACGCGCACGCTAATTATTGAAATAAAATTGAACCATGTGTTAGTCCCAAAAAGGACCTAGTCTGTGTCAAGTGGAGGTAAAACCCCATCTTTCTCTCTCTCTCTCTCTCTCTCTCTCTCTCTCTCTCTCTCCTAAAACTTTAAATGTTGGCAGAGGTATATACTGTTGTCACTGGCATCTATCCATAATTTATTTGTGACCACTCTATAACTTCTGACACACACTGGATAATAAGGGAGACTCTTGTTGAAATTTCTTCAAATAGAAAGCTCAGAGTTATTGTCTCATTTATTTTCAAATTTGTGAAATCCTGTAAATGGCATATATTATAAGGAAGAAACCTATCGATTTTTAAAATTTTGAAAACAGTTTGTCATGTTATGCATATTTAAATCTAAATAATTTAATCTAGTTTGTTGTCTGCCAATTTTAAATCATTTGCATCTTTGTAATGAATAAAATGTTTATGTATATTTTTAGTGTATATGTTCAAACGGAGACACCTGGTTGGTTAAAATCTGCATCTCATCGTCAACAACCAATTAAAACACCTGTTACAACTGATAGAGTTTATCAAGAATCAGAACAAATGACCAAGTATGTTTTTAACTGATAGAGCTACAAGAACTAAATTATTAGAATGTTTAAAACAATATTTTGGTACATGTCAGTTAGAAAGGGTGGGATGATCTGGTTTTATTTTTAAAAGTAAAAATCATTCTCATTAATTACAGCATGTTCATATTTCCTATGGCAAGGGAAGTAAATGGTTCATATTTCCTATGGCAAGGGAAGTGAATGTATCAAACAATTCCGGTTGAAACTAGAAGGAAGTGTACTGTAGGCTTGATTATCAAGTACATAACCTTGAAAAATGTTAATGACAATCATAAATGCACTGGATAATCGTTAATTGGTGCAGAATTGTCATAATTATGATCATAAAGTCTATTAAATTATTTTAAGTTTGATCCCAGGATCCCACATTTATATGTTACAGGGGGGTGGATGTCCGAATGGTTAGCACGTGCGTGCTGTATCATAAGGTCTGTCATTGAGTCAACTGGTGTGGTTTCGATTTCCCGGTTGTACACGACAAGGAGTAGAGTCGCCTGTCCAACCATTGGGTTTCCTCCCACTGCTAAAGACCCCTACGCACAAGCGAATTATTGAAATAAAATAAACCATATGTTAGTCCTGAAATGACTTAGTTTGTGTCGAGTAGACATTAAACCACATTTCCCTCTCTCTTGTATTTTACAAGGAATATGATCCTCTGCCAAATCTTATGCATTTCATCTGATTACTGGTATATGAATGTTAATTGTAGAAGCCAATCAAAGTTTTTAATTATTTCTGTTGATAATTACTTTATGAGTTGTTAGTCTTAGCTTTTAGTGTCTTGTAAAGGATCACATTAACTGCAAAAGAATAATTATGTGACAATCTTTATGGACAACTGGGATGTTGTGGGTATGTTTCATTGGCTGGCAACCTATCTTTTATAATTGTATATGTTGAATAATAAGTACACTGTGTTTAAAACTATAATTATAGAGTATTATCCATGCAGAATCAATTGATGAAAAGATATGAAAAAGAAGTCAAACAGAATATGGAACATCTAGAAACAATCACAAACTTAAATGTAAGTTGATAAACGCATCATGTGGGACAGTGGCGTGGCCAATTTTAACAAGAAAGAGAGAGAGAAATGGGGGTTTAACATCCACCCGACATAAACCAGGTCATTTCTGGACTAACATATGGTTCAATTTTATTTCAATAAGTCGCTTGCGCGTAGGGGTCTTTAGTAGTGGGAGGAAACTGGAGGACCCGGAGAAAACCCACAAGGTTGGACAGGCGATCCTACTCCTCATCACGTACACAACTGGGGAATTGAAACCCCACCAGTTGACTCAATAACAGACCTTATGATACAGCGCGCACGTGCTAACCATTCGGCCATCTGAAACACCCCCGTTTAACAAGAAAACCTTCAACATTGACTTAAATGTGTTGTTGTATGGCACCTCATGAAAAATATCTCATTTTTTGGACCACTTTCATTTTAAAGTCCTGATGTGTCATTTGCATTTTTGCTAAAATATCAAATTTCTCACGGATTGATACATGCTAAGTATTGAACATTTAATGCAGAAAACAAAATTTAAATACCAATGCTAGATAATCTACCGACATGGCCCATTAGGTTTCTCCGCTACCAATAAAAGGTGGCAACGTCGCGTTATGCTTTAACAGCATATATCAATGAAATTTCAATTTAATCTAAACAGAATTTTGTAAATTTTTCCATTTTTGGATTGATATTAGATTTTCAACTTTCACAATATTGTAGTTCTCTGAGATTCCTGTAGACCTAAATGACGCATCAGGACTTTAACAACTTAGTTGATAATTTTCTATTGTCTATAATTGTTTTGACAGGGTAAAATAGCTCAGTTAGAATCCAAGGTACAGAAAGGTGAAGAAGAATTATTCAGTATGAAAAGAGAATTATTTAAAGTTAAAGGCCCTACAGGTATTTGAAATTATCTTAAATATCTTCTATAAAAGGACTCACTATTAAGATTTTAACCGAACAGATGAAATGAAATGAAATGGGGTTTAACGTCCTACCGTCTGCTCTGAACTAGGCTAATGAAAATGGGCATAAGCCATACAGTGTGCTATGAGGGAAATTTTGCCTGGACAGCGGCACTACGGTCTGCTCTTATACCGAATCCCAACTTTTAAGGGATCTTTTACTTTCATGCCAATGTGTACATGAGACCTCTGTTTTTCATACCATCAAAACGACTAGACAGCTGTCCTTGTCAGCCCCTCCGTCCTGCATCACTGACACGGGGAATCACGTCAGAAAATCTGGATGAACTTTCTCTGCCAATGCAAGGATCGAACACCCGACCTCCAGGCTAGCGAGCCAGCGTCTTACCCACTTAGCCACCGTGACACCCCTCCTCCCAGACTCATATAACAGACACACAGCTAGGGATGAGATGACAGAACTATAGTTTTGAATTAATGGTTGTATAACTCTGTAATGTACGATTGAAATAATGTGCAATCAATATTGGTTATCTCCCAACTACATCGGATCACACATTTGTTTTCATAAAGTAGTATTTGTTGACTGACCAACAGATATTGGTGATGAGAATTTATACATCCGTACGCTCCTCCACAATTTCTTGTGAACACTCTACAAATCAGAATTCTTGTCAAATTATTTCCTACTTCACTGAGATAGTTCATTTGGTTGTAAGAAATAAGCCTATTGAAATTAAAACTTTTTTCAATTTCCCCATTACATTCTGATTTCTGAAATCTTGCGAACATGATACAGGATAAATTTCTTTATATAAATTTTTGCCGATTTAAATTTCAGCTCACATTTTGACTTTCAAAGCTTGTGAGTAAGATACAAGAATGCAGGATCAAGTTCTTAAAGGATTTATCAAAACTTAGTGTTCTTTAATTGGAGCATAAGGAAGAATCTATAATTCATAACATTTAGGATCATGCATGTTTAAACAGCCATTTAAAGTTTAGAACAAAATTCATAATAGATTATTTAAAACTTTCTCTGTAAGGTTTATTACCAATGATTTTGAATATAGCATGGATGTGTTTGCAGCTAGTGAGTGTCTAGATTGGTTATAATATGTTTAATGTTTCTACCTATTTTAGGAAGTGGTGCTAGTCTTAAAGATGTTACAAGAGTGTCTAGATTGGTTATAATATGTTTAATGTTTCTACCTATTTTAGGAAGTGGTGCTAGTCTTAAAGATGTTACTAGAGAGAAAATAAAATTAAAGAAAGAAAATAAGAAACTACGTACAGAACTTGATGGCTTAGACAAGGTAATTGTGGGTGCACGTTGTGAGAATCACAAAGTATGTATCATAGGGGCCATGACCCCAGTCATAATTCAGTGTTTTTACATTAAAAGGCAGCGGTTTTTATTTGCATTCATATTTGACATCTGGAAAATACCTAAATTATTATCCAAAAACATTATAAGCTACGTCTACACTAGCAGCATTCACCGTCTACACTAGCCTTTTAAATCCCGGTTTTTTCCTAAAAGCCGGCTTTTTCAATTTCTCAATCGTAAAAGCCGGCTTTTTAAAATCCGGCAATTATTGAGGGATTTTTCAAAATCAAAAAGCCGGCTTTTTCAAAAAAACGGCAATTTTATGTGTGTAGACGGTAAATCCGGGATTTATCAAGTACCCGGATGTCATTCATCCCGAGCTTCCGTACATTCATAACATTGGCATTGCTTCCGGTTCTAAGAAATTGCGGTAGATCTCAAATCCATCTATAGCCTAGCCTATTTAATTTCAACATGCCTAACCTAAAATGGGTTAACGAGGAGTGCTTATTGCTAATTGAGATTTGGGGGCGGGGGAACATTCAAGCTTTGTTTGATGGAACTGTCAAAGACAATAAAATTTACAGGGTTATATGCGCTGAATTAGCCGAAGCTGGCTTCTCTCGGTCCACCGAACAGGTCAAAAGCAAGTTCAAACGGCTCAAGAAGGAATACAAGGATTGTAAGGCTGAGAATAACCGTATTCTGTCAGACCAGTTGTTCATATAATTATCCCATAAATCCGAGGAAGTAGGGTATTTCCATATTCTCCCAGCTCTGCCATCAGGTAAACTCTCGATCATAGCCATGAAGGATGTTAGTCGAAAGTGTCTTCGACGGATATACAATCGCAATCGTCTTGCACGTCGTTTTCTCGCCCTCTTCCGTAAGTCTGTCAGCGATCTGCTATATTCCATAAACTGGATATATAATTGCACCAAAGTAACCAAAGTAATCATTATTATTATATTATTATCTCTGCAAAATTGACTGAAGCCGATGGCGTAATAAATAAACCGGAAGTTCCACAAATAACGAAGGTCGGTGTTCATCGTCTTTTTCCGTTCAGTCAGTGTAGACGCTACACTTGAAAAAGCCGGGTTTTGAAAAAAACGGGTTTTTAAAAAGCCGACTTTTTCAAGCCTAGTGTAGACGAATCTTTAGTGACATGGAAAAAGATTTAATAATTTTCACAAAATTGCTACTTTGTGATAAAGAGGTTAAAGAGCAATTCACGCTTGATACAAAAAACATTGACAATTTGGAATTCATCATTTAATTTTTGGTATTTGTAACATGCAGACGCTAAAAGAGAGAATACCCTGGCATACACAATATGGTATCAGACAGCAAACACATTAGCTAAATCTCTACTGTGAGTTATCCCATGTTCCCTTCAAGCATTGGGCCTGATTTGCATGTAACGTAACTCTGCATGTGGGGAAACAGATGAATACCGATCTCTTCGCTACTTGTAAAAATGTATAGGGGACAAAGTCACTAAATTTCAGACAGCAGTGCCCAGTTGTTAGCCTATCACAAAACACTATAAAACATTCCCATGGGGTCCACGGAGACCCTACATGCACCGACAAGGTTAAAGAGACAACACAGTTTATATGGAAATACAATCACTGGTTTATAAGTATAGCACGACGTTTCGACAAGTATTCTCTTATCGTTATCAAGCACAAATTTGTGCTTGATAACGATAAGAGAATACTTGTCGAAACGTCGTGCTATACTTATAAACCACATCATTTGTGCTTGATAACGATAAGAGAATACTTGTCGAAACGTCGTGCTATACTTATAAACCAGTGATTGTATTTCCATATAAACTGTGTTGTGTTTTTAATGTGTTCAATCGCTAAATGCCACTCAAGGATTATAAGGTTAAAGAGAAAGATTTTTTTAAATTTAAAAGTGTAAGACATTTCAATCATCACATTGCCGTACACGTAAAAGAACCCTTGACAGTTGAAATTCAAAATAAGAGTAGGCTGTAGCACCGCCGCCTGGGCAAAATTTCACTCAGTTGGTGCAGAAGAATAGGATGTTAAACCCCATATCATTTTCGTTTTATATCGAATGTCTGCATCACAGAAATAATAAACAATCTTTAAGATGTTCTCAGGTAGTTTAAAGCTGCTCGGGTACAGAAAATTAAGGGACTGACAGCAATTATTTCTAATCCGATTTTTTTTTTTGTTTCAGGGATTTTTCGATGAAGTGGAAGATATCAAATATGCACTACAACAATCTGCTAAACTAAATCAAGAATATGATAAATTGTTACGCAAAATGTGTAAAAAATATGGCGTACCATTTCCTAAACTAGAAAAAATTCTAGATGTGGGTACTGGCAGCTGATGTTTAAAATTCAATTTTTAAACAGTGATTGAACAATTTATTTCAAGAGACAATTTCTTAAGTTTTAGAGGCATTTTACACCAGCTACTGTGGTACATGAACGTAATCTGCTAAAACTGCTCATCATCATTTCATGTATTTTGGATCCCTTGCAATCTACAGCATTGTTAAAGTTGAATCTTTAAAAGGAATATTGGTCTCAAAATGTTTCAGTTCTGTACTGCATTTGCACGGGTGAGAAGAACAGAAAATTTGGCATTCTCTACACACAATATTTATAAGCCCATGTTGGGTAAAATCTATTTATATAGGACTATTTTTAATATGATTGAATTCAAGATAGGATATTATCTACTGGTAGATACTTTGATTTGTTTTGTTAATTAAATGTTTAATAATCAATTTGTGTTATGTACTATAAGAGTTGATAGTACTGCCTTTGACATATTTATGGATAATCTTGACCAGAAACTAGAAGAACAACAAAAATTCATAACAAATAAAGTCTTTAATAAACATGATTTTAATTCAAAGTATGACATACAAATGCTTAAAGGAGCTGTCCCAGATATCCCACAAGTGTCTGGATAGTCATGTCTGTACACATGCATAAGTTATTGTAGTAGGTGACTCTCGAGATCACCATGCCACTCATACAAAAGAAAAGTGGAATTCCTTAAATGAGTTACGTTACTTTGGCATTAAATTGTATATCGTTACTTAATTCCACATTTATCAATGGATACCTTGTGGAACCAGGGACTACCCAGCTCTTTTAAACATCCAATGGTTAAATAACAAATTAAGTTATACATAATATCAGAAAATAAAAAATAGTAATGATGAAAGCACTAATAAATATCAAGATGTATAATATCAATTTTACAGGTTAATGGAGTTTCATTTTATAAAATATGTCACAATGGAATGTCTTATATTATGGCTTTAATTGAAGTCTTTTAATTCTGGTAATAAAAATATGTCACATGATCACTTTGTGTCTCCGCACATAATAGAATCCTTGATTAATGGAATCTGATAAAGTGTAGGCAGAAACTCTGCTGTCTGGGCAAAATTCTCCTCCTTAGGCAAGTATTGTAGGCCTATTGACGAGATGTTAAAATTCCATTCTCAATTAGATGACTTGTTTCTGAGAACGATGCCCGCATGGCTTATAATTGTTGTCATTGTTTGGAAAATAATCTCCACTCCAAAGTCAGTTCATAATAGTAGGAGAAAAAACAACTTTTTATTTTTATGGCCACTGCATAGTCAGATATATATTTATGCACTGATAATTTGCTTTGAATCATTTTGATTTTTCAGATATCTTTATAATTATTATCTGAAGCACATAAGTTAATACACATTTTTATGATTTCACAATCACATATCAGGGATCCACTTCCTGTGGCAGAAATAAACGGTCACAATCAACAATCAAGTCACATCCATTTGGGTTAGTTGATGCCCAGCCAGGATTCTTGTAAAAGACATTCAATCATATAGTAAACTTGGCACGTTTACATCTCTACTACAATCAGTATCCCTCAATAAATTCAGGCAATCTACGAGAGTTTGATGACATGTCTTTTATTTCCTTTATGGTGTGGTTGGGTGGTCTAACACATGCACTTTAGATCATAAGGTCTGTCATTAAATCAAGTAGTGTGGTTTCCTATCAGTGTTAAAGAACCCTAGTCACATGGATGTCGAATGGATGTCAAATCCCATTTATCTCTCTATATTTCCTTGGCTGTGATTAGATTCCCTTGAAATACATTAGCAATTGTCTTACTATTGACGGAAAAGGAAGACATTTAATAATCACCCTTATCCATAGGCTAATTTATTTTATAGTTCAAATTGTAGAAGTTATTACATAAGTCTGAATATTGCATAGAGTATAAAAGGTGGTGTAGCAGACGTACTATACATGTTGTAACTAATACCAGTTTCAATGCCATTTTAATTGGTTAGAACAATTGAATGGTCATATTATCAATATCGAATTAGTCAAGTTTTAGCACTGTCTACTTTCAGAAGGTCCATTACTGGAAGTAACAAGGAAATAGTAATGTTTATTAAGTCCGTGATGGATGACTCCATTATGTTAAACCCCATTACTCTCTCTCTCTGTTAAATGTTCCCAACATTCATTTTCCCTAGAACAGCGACAATACTATTCTTTTACAATGTAGCACTGTCTATTAGAGGCACTTTGAGATAGTTGATTCTCAAGTAATAAACTCACAAATAAACAAACTGTCCAATGCATGCATAACTACTTCTGGTCTGGGGTGCTGTTATTATCATTAGTAATCTGCCATGCTGGTTATCAATCTAATCAGAACTCTGTGTTCTCGTTTAATGTTTTGGTTATGCTAGACTTGCAGTGTTGTATAAAATATTGTATTTTTAATGTTCGACAACCAAATTTGGTAAAATAAAGTAAGTTTTCATTGGTTCTTTTCCTTTAACACTGATAATGCCACGATATTGAATTTGAAAATGTGATGATTTTAATAATTCTGCTGTGTGTTCTGGCACCTGAAATATATAAACCATTGAATGAGTTAAAGATACATTATGGGAGATAAGATAAAGAGATGGCAGTTCTCGCTATAATAGTTAAAAACTAGATAGTGTAAAGGTAATTTGCTGAAAATTTCAGTCAAATTGATCCACTATGAGCCGAGAACGAAGCGGGTGAAATTTTTGCATAGTCTCGGTCATCATTACTAAAATCATTAATATAAACAGCATAGTCTCGATTATCCACTGTTTTGATTTAATTATCAATGGCCGTTAACCGCATATAGGAATCTAATCCAGCCAACATCGAAGGCTAGCCTTGACATCGAGAGTTTATTATGGTCTGGATAAGTTAATTAATGTCTAATTGATAATTTAGATAACATTTCAGGCCTAAAGAAAGACTTGTAATAAGCAGATTTTGCTCTTGCATAATGTATGTTTAAGTTTTTACATTATTTTTTCTGAATTTTTTTTTCTGGCAAAATAAGAGAATGTGATGATGGTTGTGGTGCCCTTTGTATAATACCCAGATAAAGATACATACATTTATCAGTATGTTCAATAGCCTAACATGAACTATCACCACTGAAGAGACAACCACTGTCAAGATTGGTCGCATTATTTCTGTTACATCTTTTATGTAAATCATTTTTTTTTTCATTTTTAGTGAAGCCTGTACCATGACAGGCCCGGGACTGTACAGCGCAGTGGACGCTTACGGCTGGCCCCCGGATCTATTCACTTGATTTGATATTTGTTTATTTGTCTTAAATGTCTATTTTCTGTCTTGTCCGCAGGTTTATCTTGTAGAATTTTGTTTTGCATGTAGTGCGGTCCTCCTGCACTTACTATTAGAGACAAGATATTCACATTTTTGGCACCTTCATACATTCTTTAAAGGGATTCAGACACGAGACATATTATTGAAAATTAATTCTACATGTTAGTAATTTTTACATCTATAATATATTTTTTGGGTGATAAATTAGAACAATGAGGATACAATATGAGAAGATAAACTAACCTGTATTTTATGAACTACTCCAGAACTGTCCATTCTACTAGCTACATTAACTGTATCACCCCAGATATCATATTGTGGTTTTCTAGCACCTACAACACCTGCTGTTACGGCACCTTGATTTATTCCTGTAATTATAATCCAGGTTAAACATTTTTGTTTTGTTAAGAGCTGGTGGGATTTTGACGACACAGAAAATATTCATGTTATACCCCAGTCAAGATATCAACCTAATGAATATCTACACCAAGTTTGAACAATTCTACCTCAATTAGAAGCTAGAGTTATTGTGTTCCAGAGTCTTGAACAATCACATTGTTTATCTCTGCATAAAAATATTCTGCAGAAAATGTAAATAATCAAGTACAATATGGACCAGGAATCGAGCTCGGTGTCAATTGTCCAAACAACAAGCATGCCAGGTATCATGTCGATCGTACTTTAAGTGATTGAGCCTTACGCATTTTTCAAAGAGAGTCACCCCCAAGAAGAACATAATTAGTGCTTGGGGAGCAGTTCCCGGTTCAAAATTTCTGGTTTTATTCTACTATAATCAGAGGTGGGAACAAGTCGCAGGACCTTAAGCACATGTCAAGTCCTATGTTGCTGACTTTAGTACTGAGTCGAGTCGAGTCTTCACAAATCCAGAGTCCCGTTCAAGTCACAAGTTCATCAAATGAGTCAGAAATTCATGGTAAATGAGAGTTATGCCCCCTCGCCGCGACTGGAGTCATAAGCTCTTTTCAAGTCGCGAGTTGTCACGATAGCCGAGTCAAGCGTCAAGTCTTGAGTCGCGGGACTCAAGTTCGTGCCTCTGACTATAATTATGATAAATATTGTGCAATTATTTGCAGTAATTCAAAGAATATTTGATGATTTCAAAATGTTATTTTTAAACAATTACAATCTTCATTTCATTTTTTTATAGTTCAAAATTTTGATTTATTTGTCTTTACTACAATGGGATCTGGAAAAGTTGTTATATAACCTGCGTTCTGGATGCTTTGAGGGATTAGCAAATGAAATGATCTGTTACAAGTTCTTGGTGTACGGTGCACAGAATTGTGGGCATCAGTCTAGAAACATCAACGCTGATTGGTTGATCAAATGTCTGACGTCATAGGGTCAAAAGCCGCTCGTATGACCCCTGACACGACCTTATAGTACAACCTGTCAGATCTTCATGTAGTGTAGGCCATCGAAAGTATAAAAAAACGAAACAATATATAGATCTATATTTTAATCTGATTGGAATACTCACCTATTCTAGGTTTAAACTGATTGTAGGAATGTAGATTTATATTGTCTAATTTTACCATCAAAGCCACAGCAAATTTTGTCATAATTTCTATATTTTTCTTCTTCTCTGACTCATCCTAAATAAAAAGAAAAATTAGAAGTTACTAAAAGAATGCACTCTACATGTTAGAAATAACCCTGTATTTTCTTGAAGTATGCAAAGAATGAACCATAGAGATTTAATTTATGGTCCAAAATGAAGCCAAAAGGAAAATATTAATCTTAATGGTTATAATCTACAACTTATCAAATAACTGTCCATCTCCCATTAATATAAGATGAGAATATTAGTTTTCATGGTTACAACCTACAAGTTATTAAAGATACATTATGTATGATTTAGATAAAGAGCTGACAATTCTTGCTATAATACCTCAAAAATAGATAATGTAAAGTGAAAATATTGAAAATTTTATTCAAATTACTTCATTCTGAGCCAAGTTATTACTGTTTGTAGTTTTGACAACATGTGTGCCTAGTGGTAACCATGGCACTGGTATATTGGAGACTTAGCCTCGCTTTCCCATTTTTAAATTAAATTTTTAAATGGCGAACCATTCTAATCTAGTTAAAATTTTGATTATTCTATGCCATCGAGAGTTGATTATGGTCTTGTTTTGTTAATAAATGCCTAATTAATAATTTAGACAGCATTTAAGGCCCAAAGAAAGACATGCAATAGGCATATTTAGCTCTTGCATAATGCATATTTAAATAATAAATAATGGTTGATGACATAGCAACAGTTCCTTTTTAAAATAGATAGCAATTCCTTCACACAGAAATAAATTTGAGATTGTTCATCCTTGGAATTAAGACAGATATTGTATGTGATACTTACAACTTCAATACCTAACGAAGTTTGTAGACCTCAATACCTATATGGTTGTAGACCAGAATATGTGATACTTACAACTTCAATATTTAACAAAGGTTGTAGACCTGTATATGAGATACTTACATCTTTAATATCTAACGAAGGTTGTAGAACAGTATATTATGTAATAATTAACAAAGACTGTAAACCTGTGTATGCGATATTTACATCTTTAATATCTAACGAAGGCTGTAAACCTGTATATGTGATACTACAACTTGAATATCTAACGAAGGCAGTATAAACCAGTGTATGTAATACTTACAACTTCAATACCTAACAAAGGTTGTAAACCTGTGTATGCGATACTTACATCTTTAATATCTAACGAAGGCTGTAAACCTGTGGCTGCCATATATGTACTACCAATAGATTTAATCTTCTCTACCCTACTAAATTCACCTTCACATAATAACTACAAAAACAACATTTCAATTACAAAATAATAAAAGATAACCCTTGCACAATTAGTCAAATCGGTTGCGTAGAAATGGAAGTTATTCAACTAAGAAATTTCTTATTAGCAAAAGGCATAACTGTTAAAATAGGATGAGTGTACAAAGTACTCTAAAGATATATTTTGTTTTCCCTGAGATATACTCAGAAGCAAAAGTGGGAAGAAAAGACAATTCGAATCTCCATATCCCTCTCCTTCTCCTTAACCTTGTTGGGCATGGAATAATAACAGTTGTCTATATGAAAATTATAAATACAATGTTTTATAAAGATTGGACATGCTTATGAGGTATGCTTTCAAAATAAAAACTAGGATAGACAGAGTCTATTCAATATCCCTCCATAACCTCGTTCCGAGCATGATAACAATAAAGCCCTACTTACCATATCTATATCTGAGATAATCTCATTTAAAACTCGAATACACTCTAATCCTTGTTTATTAGCCGCATTCTGCTGGTAAAAATCTTTAAAATTTGGTATAGATGCAAACATTACACTAACATTAGGGTAAAAGTTGTAATAAATACTCTGGAAAAAAAAAGAAGATAAAAATATTAGCTGAATTTTCAAGGAAATAGAGATGAGTGATGAGTCACGTCCTTATCAGACGAACATGGATGTGTACATGGAAGGACCTCTGTTTTTCATCCCATCTGAACAACTAGGCACGCTTCAATTGGCAGCCATTCCTGGTTTGAATGATTTCAATCTAGCTGAGAGTTCAGTACCCTGACCTCTACCACCGCCTTGACTTAATGTAAAATATTTGATAACTCTACTATGTACTTGGGGCCTGCAGAATAATTTGTTGGGTTCAGATGTGATGAAAAAAAATGAGATCCAGTCGTGCACAAATTGTGTAAAATGTATTTGAACTGTTCTATACTTACTGATTTACCGTCATGTTTTCTGGCTAAACGTAGAAAATAATCGGCAACATGAGCTGGTAATATATTCTCTAATATAACTTTATTTAAATGAGCTGTATCTTTAATCTCTTCTGTTTCATTCTCAAATTGTTTAATCCACAGAAAATCTAATTTATTTGTATATTCAATCTGTAATTATAATTTACTTTAAATAAAAATATTTTCTTACCAGACGGTATACATATATATTTGAAATCCATTTACTGCAGTGGGCGTGCTGGGGTTTTAACAGTAGGGAGTGGTGTGAGACCCCTAACCCCCACACCGAATACTTTCAAAAATTCCTGGTGAAATACATGATTTAGAGAGAGAGAGAGAGAAAGAGAGAGAGAGAAATGGGGTTTAACATCCACTCGACACAAACTAGGTCATTTTGGGACTAACACATGGTTCAATTTTGTTTCAATAATTCGCCTGCGCCTACGGGTCTTTAGCAGTGGGAGGAAACTGGAGGACCCGGAGAAAACCCACGAGGTTGGACGAGGTTGACTCAATGACAGACCGTATGATACAGCGCGTGTGCTAACCATTAGACCCCCCCCCCCCCCCATGATTTAGAGTATGTCCTGGATAAGCAATTTGCCTCCAATACAGAAGACAAAAAAATGAGATGGTAACTTAAGCTGCTGACAGTCATTTAGGGAATTTTGATTCTGTGGCAAACAACAATATTGTGAAAGTCGAATCTCAGTTCAAAACTGGATCAATTCTGTTCAGTATCGAGGATATAAACAAGCCAAACAATCCAATGCCACCTATAACCGTTGGGTAAAATCTTTTGATGGGCCTCAATCCTTGCTGGGAGATTATCCATACTGTACAAGTGCGAAAGCATGAGGGCAATATCTATATATTACACAATGTCTTGCATGAGACCATTAAACAACTTAAAATACAGACACTATTCAGCACATGCATTTCAATGAAATACATCACGCGGGTCCAATTTGCAACTAGTATAAATAATGTATGCTTGGCACATTGCCCATACCATTATTTGAAATAATGGTAATCAAACATCAAATGGCATGACGTCACATCTGTATTTTATTGTCAAATAATAAAGTTGAGTACATTTAAGCATGGATTTAACCATGTAATATCAGATATTGTTTGAGAAATAAAAATGACGGTCAATGGTATTAAAATAAAATAAAGAGAGAGGTATTATTACCTGTCTGTCTAGTATATGTAAAGTTATCATAACTAAAGCTAAATAAACAGATGCTGTTACTTTAACATCTAGATGACTGATCTCACTAATAAAATTATAAAAAAAGAAAAACATCATTAACATACAATAAATATTGTTATTTATCTGAACACCTTAAATGAGAAGTGGTATCAGATGTTCTGGGTCGTAAGTCTACAGTGAGGTTGACATCCTTCGCCTTAATTTCAAAATAAATAGATGACACTCACTAATTACTTGCTCATTTATCTTTTTGTAAAGCATTGATCAATCAAATTGCCTACTAATCTGCTTCTGAGCAGAAAATGCTCATTATCGAACTTTGATCAAGTCATTTATGTAATGTAACTACATAACCATTAGAATCAATTTTATTATGTCCCACCAAAAGCATTGACAAACATACCAATATATGGATGAAGCCATTTTAATAGTCCCCTGCTTCCTTTGTAAAGCAGAGCAAATTGAGACATGGTTCAATATGGAAATATATCTGATTCAAAATTAGAGTTGTTCACCCGGTTCTTTGCCCAATGATGGACATGGACAGTGATTAATTTAACAGCCTAGAACCGATAATTACATTTAAAATACTAGACTAACCTGGACCAACTATAAACTTTATTTTCATCCAGATGTAATATAAGGTTAAATATAATAAATGCTGTAACCATGGTGATTAGTTTAATATAATAATTAAGATGGAGGAAGACACTACAGCTAGTTAAAGCCAGTAAATAACTAAATATAAAATACTGAAATATAAAAAATAAAAAGTAAAAATATGAGAAATTTGGTGAATGCAACAAAGTCATATTTGTTAATTAATATATATGAAAGCAGAGTTTTACTTAGTCTTCAGTGTATTTCAAATGTCAGTGATTCCTTTACATGCATGCCAATGTTTACACAGGCACATCTCGTTTATTTACATCATGTCAGCCCTACTAGTGCCAAACTTGAAAATTCTTAAGATTCTTCGTAGCCCGCAACGAGATCTTAACCTAGGAAGTTCTAGAAGATAGCCCAGTGCATTTATTGTTCAACAAATGCCTATGAAAGCATTACCTGCGGTAAATGGAGAGGAAAATTGAGTTTAACGTCCACTCGACACAAACCAGGTCATTTCAGGTCATTTAGCAGTGGGAGGAAACCGGAGGACACGGAGAAAAACCCATGAGGTTGGACAGGCAACCCTAATCATTGTCATGTACAACCGGGAAATTAAAACCACGCCAATTGACTCATTGACAGACCTTATGATACCACGTGCACATGCTAACCATTCGGCCATCCAACCCAAAAAAAATTTGTATGAAAAATATATGAAAGCATTTTTTTTTAAAAAAAATTTACCTCTGCATGTTGACACTGATATAAATAATGGGGTGTACTTTGTTCAGGAATAATGGTAGAATTATCAACTGTTCTTCCTGCTTGACATGAACTCTATAAATAAATGCCATAAAAAGTTATATTTTAAGAAGTTTTCTATGATAAAGATAACAGAAGTTCAATTTTGAAAAATCCAATCTAACCAGGTACTTCTTACACATATCTACATGTTCAGATCTAGGCTCTCGGCTCTTGTCAAACAATTTTCTTAGTTGGTCAATTTCAATGGCAGAAAGTTATCCTAGATAGGTAATCATTAATTGCTTGTCGAGACATAAGTTTTGAGAATAAGATAATTCAGTTCAAACACAGCATGCTTTGCAGATAGCCCTCCAGTCAATGGAAATTTGATCTCCGTTTCATAAGCCCCGTTTACATTACTCTAAAATAACCAGTCTCGGAACCATGCCAAGCACGCCAAATGTGGAACTCTTCACAGAAAAGTTAATTTTAGTCCCTATGCAAATTACCCGGATAAAAACAATTATGATGGTTGATTTAGTTGGAGCAGCCATTTTGACAGAACTAATGACAGAACTGTCAAAGTCTGCAGGGAAAAAGGTTCGTTTGGCACATGCGTAGTGATCCATACTGAAACCGTGCTTAGATCGAATAGCGTTTACACTACAAAAATTTAACCGTGCCGTGCTTGGTACTCAGTACGGCACGCTTATGTTTGACCCATTTACACTGCAAAAAAATTAACCGTGCCGTGCCTGGTACCGTTCCTGGCACACTTAAAATTTGTAATGTAAACAGGTTTTAGAATGGCCCAAGGGCAGAACATTTCACAATGATTTCCAGAGCTGCCAATTGAAGCCAGTAAAAGAGGACTATATTCCTTGCAATAGTAATGGTCGCTCATATTCTGTCAGTAATAGAAAATCAACAGTGTACAAAAGGAACGGTCCTTACTGTGGTATGATGAAGTTAGAACTTAAAAATAGAAAAAAACTAAATGAAACAGAAAATTAATAACATAACTATTTACAACAGGAGACCAAATTTCTCTTTATTTTCTATGGAAACAACTATGGTGTAAATACTTACAAAGTTAATGGCTGACATGAAGATGACAATAGCCATGCAGACTAGTGACATAACTATTCTAATTAATGGATAGCTATTTATAAAATGTGATAATTTTAGTATAACATCCAAAAGTTTCATTCTGTATGACTGAAATAAACAAAAACATGCAAAATGGTAAACAATATAGATTGTGTATGTGGTGGGGGATAATCCAGATCTGGGGCTGCAGCGGTGTTCAGACCCTTTCTTTCTGATTCTGGAATTGACAGAATTGCAAAGAGGTGACAGAGAATTTATTTCTGTCACAGTTTTATTAGTCCCCTTAACTTAAGCACCCCCCCACCCCCATTTTGTATAATGCAACCTCTTATTTACAGGACCACCATCATTAGATGACCATCTGAAACCCAGATTCAATTATATGATGGTTTATCTAGGATCCTCCCACAGGGAAAGAAACCTTTTTGTGATTACAGGCCAAGTAAAAACAATTTTAGCTGTTTTAAAAACACTGAAAAAAGACAAATCATGTGCCAAACATAATGACAGACACCAGATGAACCATGACTGAATTGGTGCCTAGTTTGTGACAGGTGCCTTATTTCTAGGCATTTGGCCATCCACCCCCTCGATCCTAGAAGTAAGTCATGTCTATTTTCTTACTGATAGTTAAACTGTAGGTCCCAATAAAAGTTTAAAATATCATTTACAATTGATGTATTGCCAGGTGGAACTCATTTTGTAAGACCTTATTCATGTAGAGACAGATGGAGTTTAACATCCACTCAACACAAACCAGGTCATTTTCAGACTACTAGTAACATATGGTATAATTTAATGTCAACAGGAGGGTTGGATGGCCGAATGGTTAGCACGTGCGCGCTGTATCATACGTTCTGTCATTGAGTCAACTGGCTGGGTTATGATTCCCCGGTTGTGCATGACAAGGAGTAAGGTCGCCTGTCCAACCTTGTGGGTTTTCTCTGGGTCCTCCGGTTTCCTCCCACTGCTAAAGACCCCTAGGCGCAAACGAATTATTAAAATAAAATTGAACCACGTGTTAGTCCTGCAATGACCTAGTTTGTGCCGAGTGGATGTTGAACCCCATTTCTCTCTCTCTTTTATGTCAACAATTTGCTTCCACATAGGGGTCTTTTAGCAGTGGGAGGAAACTGGAGCACAGGAAGAAAACCCACAAGGTTCCTTATCACGTACAAGTGTGGGATTGAATCCATGCCACTTGAGCATTTGCCCCTCCCACTCACCCCATTTATTTCCAGATCCATACCTTATGTAGATAAATATACATACCATATGAAATTGTAATGATGAAATGATAAGTAACAGGGCTAGCAGAGATATACCACAACACCAACTTATATAATATATCACAGATCTGAAATAAATATATACACATCATTACTCTGACCAGTGTCATGCATGGGTATATGTACTATCTTCATAGAAAATCTTCATAGAAAATCTTCATAGAAACATTTTTCTTTTTTCTCTAATAGGTTTGCATTTTTGATAATGCATTGTTATCCATAAAAGTTACGGGATAAGAAAATGTGTATTGAAATTAATGATACTGGCTACAGGTCTCATTTAATGCATTCATTTCTCGTACAGTTAGCTACTAAATTTAACATACAATAACATTAGTTCAAGGTTAATATTTAATTTATTTTAGAATGGCAGACAGCCTTCTCAGTAGAGAATTTTACTTGAAAGCTAAAATCCATCATGAGAGAAATGGGGTTTAACGTCCACTCGACACAAACTAGGTAATTTCGGGACTAACATATGGTTCAATAATAATTCACTTGCGTGTAGGGGTCTTTAGTGGTGGGAGGAAACCGGAGGACCCAGAGAAAACCCACAAGTTTGGAAGGCAACCCTACTCCTTGGGACGTTCAATCAAGGAATCGAAACCACACAGTTGACTCAATGACAGACATTATGATGCAGCATGCACGCTAACCATTCCCCCCACCCCCCAAAAGCTACCATAAATATAAAATAAAATATGTGACTTACCGTGGTAACATGATACCTTGTATTATAACTATAGTTATAAATATCATAGTAGAACACATTATATAGTATCGAAACATGCCATCTAACTGTTGACTAAATTCTTTCTCAAACTCAGAATTTTGGAATGTAAGTAAAAATGGATTAATATCACTTTTTTCATGACATCTGAAATGAAAAAATAAAAGATTATCATTTGTCTGTGACTATTATTCCCATTCAGATTGTCACTTCAATGTAGAGACTGGTGTTTATTTTTTATTTTTTCATTTACATTAATCTGCTTAGAAAAAAAGGCATAAATTGTATGTAAAAAGTTTATTTAATGTCTGTTTCACCAGATTTCTATTATATTAAAGATACATTATGGGAGATTCGATAACGAGGTGGCAGTTCACCTTATAATAGTTAAAAACTAGATAATGTAAAGGCAATTTGCTGAAAATTTCATTCAAATTGATCCACTATGAACCGAGAACTAAGCGGTTGAAATTTCCGCCTAGCCTCGATGATCATTACTAAAGTCAGTACGATAAACAGCATAGTCTTGATTATCCATTTAATCGTTAAATGGTGAAGGAAAGTTATGCAGTAAATCGGCTCATAATCCACTAAAGATCGCAGGCCAGCGATGCCATCTAGAGTTGATTATGGTCTGTATAAGTTAATTAATGTCTAATTAATACTTTAGATAACATTTCAGGCCTAAAGAAAGACCTGCAGTAGACAGATTTAGCTCTTGCATAATGTATGTTTAAATTTAATTAGTAGAGGATTTACCTTCCATGACTGACTGTTTTAAGTTTTCTGTCCAATTCTGTATTAACATCACTTTGTATCTGTTTCTTTAAACACATCAATCTAAACAGAAATTACTTGGTTTAATCATTAAATTAAGGGGGAGGGGGGAGGGGCACACCACGCAGTCTATGTTATTCTGGGACTAAAGGGTTATAACTTTATTTCAATAATTTGCTTGCAGCAGTAGACATTAGCAATCTACTGAAATTGGAGGACACAGAGAAACTCACAAGTTTAAGTACGCCATCCAACTCCACGTCACATATAAACTTAAGGAGAGAAACCCAACCACTTAACTCAATGACAGACCTTATGATCTCACCAGCATGGGTTAAATCACTCGGTCACACTCACATATTATATTATATCCAAAATAAAACTAGACAAAAATCCATTGGATAAAACTCTCAAATAGATACAGATTTTCTAGTATAATTAACTTACCCTTGATCAATTCCTTCAGAATTTAACATAATATTGGAATCCACTAAAGCTAGACTCTATAATAAAAATAGGGAAGAGTTATCTCCTTTTAGTCTTCAAGTCACCCAATTAACACAAAAGTTCACAGATATAAAAATAAAAAAATCAACACAAATTGCATGTAACAGCATCACTCAAGAATAAAAAGTGTATAGCAAACACTAATTCAAATGTTTCAATGGAAACACAAAAATTATCCCGTTCAAAAACGGTGTCCAACCTTGTACATGTATGTACAAGTTTCGTAAATATATTTTTAGTAATTCATAAGATATGTTCCAGAAACAATGAATGAATGAAATGGGATCCTACTGCTCTGCATCAACTAGGCTAATGAAGATGGCCATATACTATACAGTGTGCTATGAGGGAAGTTTTGCCAGGTCGTTTGTCCTGCACCACTGACAAGGGGGAACCACGCCAGAACTCTAAAAACAAAACTTGGACTGAGGGACATAAGCACAGATAACATGATAAATAAAATAATCTTTTATTAAGTAGTAAAATATGTACCGTAAAACTAAGGACATGTGTCGTCATGTTGTTGGAATGTAAGTTTGAAAATGGTTGATCTATACCCCATGTCTCCAGATATTTAGATACTTTAAGTGATGCTCTCATATTGTTTTCAAATCTGGTTCTTTGTGCAACTCTGTATTTCTGTAAAAGACAAGTCAGTATTATGCTGGACATTAATTGTAGAAAAATGTATTCAGCTTGAAATTTAACAAAACTAATATTCCCATCTATTTTATATTTTTGTGCTTTGGGTTTTTGTGTTATTTTTCATGAACATCATAAATATCGGTTGCCATACACCCACTTATTGATTTTCCATCTGAGTCTCAATAAAATAATTATAGTCACCAATATTATCAATTTACCCCTGATATTGTTTACAAGATATCTGTTAAAGGTGCATTAGGTAAAATTAGATATAGAGCTTACAGTTCTCTCTATAATAGTTAAAAAAATACATAATGAAAAGGGAATATTGTAGCACCATGGGTTTTTTGTCTGACGTGGACAGCGTACATTGTCAAACCGGTCGCCACATCCTACATACGACCCATGCATCTTTTCTTTTTACATATTTCTGTAGCCTTGTGATCGTGTAGAATTTCTCTCTAGCTGTCTTTACTTCTGCTTCACGTTGTGTATTTACTTCTTACAGTTTCTTAAGACGTTTGTCTTACCAGGAATAACAATGCAACAGTTTGCTTCTACATTTTATATATATATAGCTGATTACAGGTATACAAGCATAGCACAAATTACAATACTAGCTAAAACCATTTCTCTACCCTAGCCAGCCTCGTGCCTGTCTAGGAACTCAGATGTAAGCTCTCTGGAACCTAATAGAAGCCTGCCTTACAAAGTTCCCCGGTTTCTCTTATAACCATACGAATATCACGCACAATCAAGTGTGATCATGGCCCTGAACTTGTGTAATTAACGATATGATTGGTTACTTTAAGCTAAATGATGCAATTAGAATAATTAAACTCACGTGTCATCTCGGGGTATTTTATAGACACATGTTATGGTTAATAACTATTTTTTATATAACAATATGTCAATTACAGACTAAGTTGATTTAGTGCACACTATATATGTGAATATGTTTGAAATTACTAACTTGCCAAAGATATTAATTAATGAAATATAAAGGCATCTTATTTCCCTATTCCTTGTCTATAAATTTAAAAACAATGTCGCAACCACGATAGTGCTACAATATGTTGAAAATTTCAGTCAAATTACTTCACTCTGACCTAGATATCGGCAATACAATTATAGAGTAGCCTCGATTTTCACTAATACTGTTGTAACGATTATCCATTTTTACGGTAACAGCATCGACCATAAAACGTATTTAAATCTACTTATATCACAGCCATCTGATGGCATCGAGAGTTGATTATGGTCTTGGTAAGTTAATTAATGTCTAATTAATAATTTATATAACATTTCAGAGCTAAAGAAAGATCTGCCATAGGCAGATTTAGCTCTTGCATAATGTATGTTTAAGATCTATTCAAAACGATCAGGTGAGCATTATGACTGCTAAAATGCTATGAATATTTGTCACAAATGGAAAGTGAAAATTGAAGTATAACTTCAATAATTGTACATACATCTTTACTGACAGACCATTTCAAATTGGCTATAACTAGAAACATATTAATATAAAAACCAAAAATTTACCCGTTTAACTGGTGGAACAACAAGATATGTCGTAATGTTATTATCTGCCAAAAATGTATTTCGCAGATGACCATCTCCTGGTTCTACTTCATAACTATCACCCAGACACTTTAACGTACTACTGGATATATGAACACGCCTGAAAAACAAACAGCATATTTATTTCAACGCTGATCCCGATCATACATTTTTCGAACAATGTCTAATATTTGACAACTAATATTCATGCTAGCATGTACTCAGTTTGATTATTTAACATTTAATTAAGAAAAAAAAAGCAAAATTATCAACGGTAGATAATCTTCCAGCATGGATCAAGTTGAATTAATAAGAGGCCCATCAAAATCTTTTAGGTGGCCATGGCTTGTTTATATTATTTGCAGACGATGTCAAAATTTTTCATTCAACAAACTGAGGAGAATTGAACCATTTTTGGACAAATAATCCATTTAGAGATTCTACAATTTTGCAACAGATTTAAAATCACTGAAATGACAATAAGTGACTTATGATGACAGTCTATGAAAACTGAAGATGCTGTAGTGACATTGTTTGTTTAAATAACTACTGTTTGATAATCTAGGATGATGTGTTAGGTCTAAAAGCCATGGTCCGTTGCAGATTGCTCCACGGGATGTAATCAGGGTTGTTCTCGTCAACAATCACAAGCCCTAACCCTATTTACATCTTGTGATTTATGACGAAATCTTCAATGGTTCTTAGCTTTTAGCCTTTACCCAAATTATGTGAGAACTAAAAAGATTATGTACGTACCCAGGAACGCCACCCGATTCCATATGATTAGCTATACTGACATCATCTGACCATACGTCATACTGCCATTTCTGTAACCCTAATACACCACATAATACAGAACCTGTATGTATACCTATACGCATATCTACATTAACACCTGTAGCTTCACGTACATCCCTGAAAATGATACATTTACATATTTACTTATACTTATAAGTGTTTTTCTGTTTCCTAACTTCAGAACTACTCTATTTTGTAATATATTTTATGACTTCAATACAATAGATACAACACATGTTTTGGACCGGGTTGACGAAGAATGTCAAAAGAAAAATATTAATCTCAAGAATGTGTAAATGTGGAGCCGAATTTCAGTCATTGCTTTTTCAATACTAGATGTAGTGCTTAAATGTGGAGCAGAATTTCAGTCATTTCTTTTTCAATACTAGATGTAGTGCTTCACAGGATTTATCATCCACAAGCAGTTCCTTATAACCATTAGTCAATTTACAATTGTCCAGTGTCATTAATGATTGTCAATAACAGTAATAAAGTTGTATATTTGATAACTGAAACTACTAGAAGGGTATTCTATTTTTTGAAATAAAAATGAGCTTTGCTTTTGGGAGGGAAGGGGGGGGGGGGGGGGAACAAGGAGACTAAAGGGAGATAACCCATCTTGGACCTCTTCAGAAAATATTAAAATTTGTGCCCCAAAAATTAAATAGGCTTTATATATGGAAGTTGAATACAGAAAATATGTAAATTAATACCTAATAACATCAATCATTCTCAGTCCCATTTTAACACAGTTTGTTGCATGGTTTATATCTGGTTCAGGCACACCGGACACACAATAATAACAATCTCCCAATATCTTGATTCTCATACAGTTACTCTTCTACAATATATATAATAAAAATGTATTATGGTTGTTAATAACAATATATTAATATATAATATCCATTTAAAAATTCATTTCATTGAGTACATCTTTTTATATAAATGAAATGGAGTTTAATGTCTTTTTTTGCTGCACTAATCAGGACAATGAAAACAGACATCAGCTATGTAGTGCATGGAAGTTTTGCTAAAACATCTGCGTAACGGAATACTGCTATTTTCATTTCTAACTGTCTGGGGATCTGTAACATAAGTAAATACAAAATTGTCATTGTCAAATCAATGGATTTCTCATACAGTAACTCTACTGAAATAAAAAATATGATATCCAAGAATAGCAATCTCCTCGCATCTGAATTCCCCTCACTGGCTCCCCCAACACCAATCCAATAGTCCTTTAGGCCTATTTGATAAAAAAAACCTTTTGGCTTTTACAGGGCATTTACATTGGACAAAATACTAAATTAGTGCCTGGTGACATTTGGGCAAAAATAAAGAAATTTGGGCAGCAGTTCTACCCACGCCAATAAAAAAGGCCAGTACACATATGGTCAGAATGATAAAATGAACATTTGGCTTTTACAGGACATTCACATTGGACTAAATATAAAACAAAACATTGTTTTATTTAATCGCATTGTTTACATATTATGATGGCTTTCAAGTATCTGCTTTTATCATCATGATCATAACAAGTCACTTAATTATATTGAATGTTAACAGATTAATAATTAATGTACAGGGAAATTTTTCTTCAAAGATAAAGCAACCCCTTAATTATGCATGTATCCATAATTAATTACCTTTGATATAAACGAGTACATATGAGAGAAAGAAACACATTTTCATCAGGTAATTACAGATAGAATAACACTTTATTACAAAGATAAGAATAAATGTAGATTTAAGAGAATTTTGCATGTATATAATACCAGTTTGTACACCGAACGTCATTCCATAAGAATGACTTAACACACTTTAGTTTTAGGTTCTATAAGAATGACTGAACACATTTTTCTTGCCAGCACTGAAGGCTCCACTACACTCTTCACAAATGAGAGAGAGAGAACCTGGCTTGAAAAATTCCATTGCGCAATGGCTCTCAGTTTTTCATACCATATGAATAACTAAACCCACTTGCCAGCCCTGAAGGATGCACCCATGACAACTGAGAGAGAGATTGAGAGAGAGAGGGAGAGAGATGGTGGTTAATCAACACAAACTCAGTCTCGTTGAGACTAACATATGTTAAATCATTATTCACTGCCCGGTAATTGACTTGTATACAAGGGTCTTCAACAATTGGAGAAAACCGGCAAGCTCAGATTGACAATCTTATTCTCTGCTACTTTGCCACATAAAAGCATATAGGTCAATACAACAATGTTTCACACAATGACACACCTTATTATTCAAAGAATTATTTTTGTAAACAGTGGAACACAAAATCAGTTATATCTCAAAGGAAATAAAATGGGCTAATGAAGATGGGCAAATAAAAGGGGTCTAGTTATTTTAAATAACTGAAATAGTTCATGCTTAGAAAGACAGAAAATTCATGACAATTACTTACTCTAGCCAGTTGATCAAATCTACCAAATAATTCGTTTAACATTTTGACTAATTCTCCTGATGTACAATCTGATGCTAGTGGTGTAAAGTTTACAATATCTGCATATAAAATACTGAAATATAACATAAAAATATTTAGAGGGGTGTTATATTGTGCAATAGACATGTCCTGGGATTGATTATAGAAGCCAAGTTTTGAGTGTACAGTTTGTTGGCGAACTAAGTATCATCGATCTAAGGATCACTCTCACAAGATTTTATAAGAAGGTGATTGGGTGTTTATTGCAGGAGAGAGGGAGTGAGTTTAATGTGTACTCAACACAAACTAGCTCATTTTAGAACTAAAACATGGTACTTTTTTTTTAATAATGCCATTGTGTATAAGAGTCTTTAACAAGACCAGCGTTATGATCAGAAGTGCATGAATCAGACCACTGAACCACCCGTACCCCCAAAGATGCCTGATGTGATTGGAATGTTGCTCTCCTTCTTTTAATATTAAGGCGATGGTATATATGTATGGGTTAATGCAAGGTCTGATACTTGAACAGAAAGGTCTGATATCGCTTTTAAAAAGAAAATGGAGGTTAGAGCTACATCTGACAAAACTAGAGGCGTTTTAACGAGAAAACAAATCGGTTTCGATTACCTGTCACGTTTTGTACATGACGTATGTCTCGAGTTGGTATTTGAATCGGTTCTCGTAAATGTGCCGAGCTGCCTCGCAAGATGGCTGAAGACTGAAGATTATTGAGGAAAAATGTTAAAAAATTCATTTTTCTTTATTCTGTTCTTGAAAACACCGCCCCAAAATAAAAACGAGATATTGTACCAGTTGACTGTTCCCAAATGCCCCGTATTCATATTAGGAAAGTCCATGATATTCATATTTCACGTGAAATTCAAAAGAAAATGAAATGTCAGGCACATTGTTTCGCTTCTGGGGTACACCAATCGTCAATCCGACAGGCGAGCAAGATTTGCATAATCGATTTGGCAAATTGTTGAGGTAAATATGACAATTAGGTGAAACCGCTTTGACTAATTTTTGCCGTAAAGGTGTTTGAATAGGATTTGCAAATCGATTAGCCATAATCGGTTTCTAATAAAAACGACTTAGAGTATGGTTAAAGTAAAAGTTAGAGTGGCATATCTGGCCTTAAGGATGTACATGTAGAGAAAATCATAAACAACAAGGACTGATTATTTACCTGACATTGTCAATGTGTTTAACATATAGTTCATGAAATGGTGATTTTGGAGTTTGTTCTCGAATATTTCGTTGTAAATTTACTTTCATTTCTGTCACAAGTGTTTCTGGTATACAGCTCATTAACAACTCTTCCTAATAATATAAATCATACATTAAGTTCATCATTAAAGGCCCACTATTAAAACAATAAACCAGACAAATCTTCTTACCAAAAAGCATATTCATCCGAAAAGTATTAAATTTAAAATTCCAGTACTTTGTACTGAAATCTTGCGGTCTTATTTTTTTCTCGCATAATTGACTGTCAATTTATGAAAGATAACTCTTTTCTATCCATGAACATCAAGGCCAAGATATTAAATTTAAGTAAGAATTTTTTTTACTGGACTTCTTCCACAGGCAACCAGAGGTTTAAAGAGCTACAATAAATATCGCAGACCTCTTACCAAATGAACAAAGGTATGATTTTAGATGGTGTTTCTTTACACTTATTTACACTGAGTTCATGGAGAATAATAGTAATGTAATAATTTGATAAGATGCGACAGAAGGCTCAGAAATCTTATCTTCAGCAGAATTTTCCATAATAATTGATATCTGACAATTGCCACCCGATGATGTGACCTACCATTTCAAGCTAGTGAAAAAGAGACTATATTTCCGTAAACAATGGGTTGCAGGTCTTTTTTCTGGCTTCAAATGTTATATAAATTATTTTTTAGACATTTATTCACATGACGCACTCATAATCAACTCTTTAAACCATCGGATGGCTGAGATATTGAATGGATTAGACCATTCGCACCATATAATCGGTTACATTAAAATGAACGTCATTCAATAAAAGTACTAACAATCAAGACTTTGTTTATTATTATGGTAATGGCACTTTACAAATTTCAAACACTCATAATTTGAATGAAATTTTCAATATACATTTTTCATTATCTATTTTCAACTATTATAGCAAGAATGCCCAGATTTTTAAGTCTTGCACACTTTTCTGCAAAATAGACCAATTTTCTAAAGTTTAAACATGCATTATGCAAGAGTTAAATCTGCCTATTGCAGGTCTTTCTTTATATAAACTATTAATTAGACATTTATTAACATGAAAAGACCATAATTAACTCTCAATGCCATCTTATGTGTCCGACTTTCTTTGGATTTGAATCTGATCTGCTGTTCAACGTCCATTGATGATTAAACGCAAAACTGGATAATAAAGACTTTGTTAATTATCGTGATAGTGCTAACAATGACAATCAAGGTTACAGTAATTTTTAAAATAAGGTTTTCTCGGCTTAGAGTAAAGCAATTTGACTGAAATTTTCAGCATATTCCCTTTCCATTATCTAGTTTTTAACTATTATAATGAGAACTGTCTGATCTTTATCTAATCTTCCATAATGTATCTTTAGTTGTGACAAGAAAAGAACTAATTAGATAAAGTACCTGCTGTTTTTTCTCTCTTTCTAGTTTTATCACAGATTCTATAGAATTGCGAGCATCAAGGAAAGCTCTTCGGTGTGCTGAGTCAGATAAGTACTTGTGATATAAGCCAATCAAATTAGCACAAATATAAATAATACTGTTAGCTGCTAGCTGGAAATAAAAATAAAAATATTTATAAAGATTTATGTTAATAACTACTGCAATCTCCTGTACCACTGTGGGTTTGAATCCCTGGTTGTATGTGACAAGGAGTAGGGTCGCCTGTCCAACCTCGTGGGTTTTCTCTGGGTCCTCTGGTTTCCTCCCACTGCTAAAGACCCCTATGCGCAAGCAAATTATTGAAATAAAAATAAAAACCATATGTTAGTCCCGAAATGACCTAGTTTGTGTTGAGTGGACTTTAAACCCCATTTCTCTCTCTCTCTCTCTCTCTCTCTCTCTCTCTCTCTCTCTCTCTCTCTCCCTGTACCATTGTTAATTCTGGTGCCCTACACAGGAGGATTTTGCCTGGACGATGGCATTTTCGTCTCCTTTTATTCGATTTCCAACTGCCAAGGGTTCTTTTACATACATGCCAAAGTGAATATGGGGTGCACATTGATTTTTCTTCCCATCTGAATGACTAGGCTTACTTTCCCAGATAGCCCTGTAGGTGTCACCGCTGATAAGTGAGAACAGGTCTTTAAAAATTCCTCGGATGAACGTTGCTTTATCATTTATAACAGGCCAAATGCTAATTACAGTTCAGTTATGTTATATTGTGCAAATATTTAAATACATATTGTCCCAAAAGTATTTATTGGGTGGTTATTTCCAATAAAAGTATGGCAAATTTGGTATAGGGGCTATATGGAAAGTATAGACATCCAATCTTACTAGAATAATACTGGATGACCCGGAAAACAGTCATGGGGCAAGCACTGGGCAAAAATGTCAGGGCATCACTAACTGGGAACCAGACAGTTGTCTGCCAGCTTATTGTGTGCTAGATTGACTGAGGGAGCAGTTGTTATTTCTTGATCAAATGGATAGGCGGTTTTGGGAAATTTGAGGGGTCTCAGCGTACAAAAGACTGCAATTAAACGGCGGAAAAAGTAGTTGACAGAAAATAATTAATAATTTACTTAGGCCTCAATAAGTGATAAATGGAAAATAAGTAACGTAAAATACATTCTGAAAAATGGACCCTCCCTCAATGAACTGAGCTGACAGACATGGCGCCTAACAACAGTTGATTTATAGCTTGTGGTATCTCCCGATGAATACAAAGTTTTGAGAGGAATTTGAAGCGAAATTTTGATATATTCATTAGTTTGAATAAGTGTTTAGTCCAAATATATCATCATATAACACAGTTTGTATGCAGGAAAGTATCTTTAATGGCTTAGAGCCACCATTAAGTTCTATTCTTATAAATATACTTTAGAATAAAAGATCATACTATTACTTTTTAAATCAAATGTATATAGAGTACCAAACATCTGAAATAATACTTTTTCAAACAGTATCAAAATATTGCTTAAAGCCAAAGTGTATTTTTTAATGATTTTTACAGACAGTCTACCTTTTTTTATTTCCGCAAATAGACGAGATTTGATGTATGTGTTGGGTTTCTTAATAGATTGTAGATCAGTACTCCATTAATACCATGTATAATAGAAAGCTTAGAAGGATGTTTACAAATGTTATTATTAAAGTGCTAAATTTGCCTATTGCAAGTCTTCCTTAGGCCTTAAATATTATATAAATCATAACCATAACCAACTCTCAATGCCATCAGATACTGGCAGATGCTTTTCCTTGCCAAACCCTTCATCCTATACCACTGACAATGTAAAACCAAACATGAAAATCCAGAACTTTCTCGCCCAACAAAGGGATCCTGTTGCTCCCTTTAACATTAGCTCCCATCTAAATGACTAGATGCCTTTCCTTGTCGGATCCTTCTTTCCGCATCGGGGGGTTGGATGGCCGAATAGTTAGCACGCGCCCGCTGTATCATACGGTCTGTCAATGAGTCAACTGGTGGGGTTTTGATTCCCCGGTTGTACGTGACAAGGAGTAGGGTCGCCTGTCCAACCTCGTGGGTTTTCTTCGGGTCCTCCGGTTTCTTCCCACTGCTAAAGACCCCTACGGGCAAGTGAATGATTGAAATAAAATTGAACCATGTGTTAGTCCCGAAATGACCTAGTTTGTGTCGAGTGGATGTTAAACCCCATTTCTCTCTCTCTCGTTTCGCATCATTGACATGAGGAAACCAGAAAATCCTATATGAATGAAATGGGGTTTACTAACTTTTTTGCACCTGGACCTATGAAGATGGGCAGACATACAGTGTCCAAGGTTACAAGTTAAAAATACTATTTATTTATAATTACCTGATGGGCGAGAATATCAGTACTATAATTAGACAATATACCACTTAATGTCACATCTAAAATAATCTGTACCATACCAAGACAAAACGACACACGTTTAGATAACGATAATACAATATACGAAACTAACACTGTATAAAACACAATAGGTACAGAATCAGACGGCGATCGCAGATGACTTAATCCAAAATGAATGTTTGTAAATATGAGTATATTCATCCATATTATAACAGCGAGTATCCTCGGACAGCGAACATAGATTTTTTTAATGGCTACCAGTACTATGATGATAATAATAAGCGCCACGTCCACACCAAGTAAACAAAGTTGTACCAATTCATGTTGGGTATCTATCTTCTGTAAGAATAAAAAACAAAAAACAAGTTGTTAAAATAATTAGAAATATATTTAATATCAGTAAAGTTTTCTAATTTGGCTTGTTTGTCTAATTTTGTTTGTGCATCTGATTTTTAGGCTTTAAAAAAATGGTCTGGTTCTTAGGCTATCCTCAGGGGTTTTTTTTATAAATTTTGTGGTTTTATTCTCAAGGGATCATATTGTTTATATGAATTATGATTGTCAAGAACATTTATCAGGGTTGCATACCTGATAATTGTGCTTATGATTTGATTCAAATTTTTTTAATGGAGTTATTTCCTGTAACCAGTGGAAAATAAGAATGTTTTATTTTATGTTTTTGGATATAAAAACGGGTCATGCAGCCCTTTTTAAGTTATTTCATTTAAATTTTCTTTTATAGAGTAATATCCTGTAACTGGGGGAAATTATGGACGTGTGGTAATTAATGAGAATATTTTTATTTTATGTTTTATACTTTTTAAGAGATGCAGAAGTATTTGACAAACAAGTTTTTTTTTCATGGCCATATCTATCAGTTTATGTCCTTGGTATTAGTTATGTGTTATAAAAACTGTAAGAGCGAGGATGGACAGCAAATCGTGTTAGATTTCAGGTGGTCGGTATCATTATTAATGTGAAGATGTCAGGTGTTTGAAATAAAAGTAATCATACCCTCCCTGCCTCAAGGCATCACATCTACTACTAGAAGTCAATTATTCAGATGATCGAAATAAAACCTATCCACGGCTTCTCAGAATAAATCCGTATTTAAAGGGCCAATCTCGATTATATTTTGGAGAATAAAGCTGCTTATTTTTGTGTTAAAAGCCTTAAGGGCTTAGGACTGAGCAACTAACTCAATATACATGATACGTTTTCAAACAACTTCAACTGGAAATGGAGACTGGTGTCCAAAGCTGTATTATATGGTGTCTGGATAAAAGCAGACTTTTATTTTATAAAAAAAATGTGTAGGTGAAATTTACCTCTCGTTATTAAGTACAGCATGTGGGTCATGCACTGTATAGACCTCAAAAAGAATGGCAATAGATTAACAGGTCACCCAATGAAAAAACTGACCTGACATCTTAAAAGGGTTACGTGTTCAGATAAGCGGTTTTGACATTCACGTCCAAACAACTCAATATTTTGAGCTGAAATTTAGAGACAAGGTAAATACACCTAACCTCTATTTTTTGGTGCTTAAATTTCATACGTACACAGACTTTTATTTTAGAGATTCTGTTAAAATTAAGGCCTCTAAACTGACTCTGTGAATGTGGTCTCTAGACAAATACTGTAATGAGGCAGCTAAGATTCCTTTGTTTGACGGACAGATATTATATAAAAACGAATATCAGTCAGTAATTTTTTGATCCGGTTCAACTATATAACTGAACAGTGATCCATCAACCCAAATCATGTTTACAACCTCATGTAAAAGTACAATTTGACACAATTTATTATCTGCAGGTTATTTACGATGTAAGTCAAACAATCTGGTTCATATTTATTATTATAACAATAAACATTTTTAAATATATATCGCTTTTTAATCATGTGTTTTTGTTTTTATTAACCGCCTTAAAGGGACAATAACACTCTTGCTTGCTTGACAGCTCCAGAAAATAAAAAATAGCCTTATTCTAAGTACTAGATGTGTGAGTTTCCTACCTGTTGTGTAAATTATCCATTAAATCCTATTTTACTTGTCCAGAGGGTTCAAAAATATTTTTAAATCCAAGTCACATTTGAAAAGCTTTACGTCAGGCTTTTCAAATCATTTAGTTGAATTTTTCCAATTTTTTATATTAGGTGTGTTAAGATGAAATTTGTATCATCAATTAATTGGAATATTGTAAAATAGTACAATTTGTTGACTGGAAAAAAAGATTGGGACATATTATTCAGTTACAACAAGAGTATGGTATTGAGCCTTTAATTAGGTACTGAATAGTTCATTAATTAATTGTTAGATGCAAAACTACAATAACCATTATTTAATATTTATACACTATACAATGACAGTGACGTACAACTACAACAAACGGAAACATGACATACTCCAAATATTCGGAATTTCTATTTCATAAAGGATTCTTTTTGTTTCTTACGTCAATGTTGTTTCCTTGTGTCAATTTTAACATTTGAGAATTTAAACAAGACAATGATGAATTGATACATGATGAAAAATCATTTATAATCAAGGATCGGTTAACAGAGATGTCACTAAATAAATTTTTCACAGGCAAATTATTTCTCCTTGGGGCATGAATATATTGTTTTGCGCAATATTTAATTTACAGAAATGATATATCATTGCTGTCAAGTCAAAATATTGTATCAGGGTTTTGCGAAATTGTTCAGGAGAGCAGTTAAGAATCATGATGATGTACAAAAATATCATACCACCACTTACGTCAGCTCAGACCACTTGGCCATGGAAGATATTTACAAACTGTCTGCTCAAGGTTCATTGTAACACAATCCTTCAGTCACTAATTTTATAAACTTGTATATTAATCCTAAAACTTCCATAAACTTAAAGGTTTAGATAAAGAGTTGGCCATTCTTACTATAATATTTCAAAAATAGATAATGCAAAATGAATATATTGAAAAATTTCATTAAAATTACTTTATTTTGTGTGAAGTTATCAATAGTTGTAGATTTGACAAGATGTGTGCATTGATTGTAACCAGCATACTGGTCATTCGAATCTTGGCCTTGCTTCTCCATTTTTAAATTAAATTATTAAATGGCCGAACCGTTCTAATCTACTTAAAATCAGAGCCATCCGATGGCATCAAGAGTTTATTATGGTCTTGTTGTGTTAATAAATGTCTAATTAATAATTTATATAACATTTAAGGTCCAAAGAAATAGGCTGATTTACCTCTTACATAATGCATGTTTTAATAATTCATGTAGGAATTTAAATTAAAATTATTATTGTGCCTTTTGTCCGTATGTACGCAAGTGATTTGACAGCAGTGATTAGAATCTTCTTTATCAAATTCCAGTTCTCAATTAATTTATTTTAAATGCCCTCAACGCGTACATGGGACTTCAGGTTCCATAACAAAATCTATATACCGGTACAGACAAATAATGAAAAGTAAAACAAATATTTTGAACATACATCTATATTTGAAAAGCTTTCCATACCTTTTCCAATGTGACAAAGTTCAAAGTACATAACTGTTATTCATAAACATCAGGGTTTATTTTCTAGAAAGCATTTGAATAAGATGGTCTTAAAAGCCTGATCATTGATTTTCAATAATACATTTTAAAGGTTAACTTTGTACCAAATAAAAATTTACCTGGTGATGTAAACATTGTGTCCAATCTCAAGACTAAAAATTAGCTTGTCCAATGGCAGAAACTATTATTTTTATTATTTGACATACTACCCGTGACTTAATGTTTAAATTTGGAAGTCAGTATAGCAAACTCTTATAAATCTAATACTTTTAATTAGGGTTATTGTATAAACTTGACTTAATTCAAATAACTCCAATTTTAATATAAACCAAACACTTCATAGCTAGATTGAAGGGCATATACGGTACATGTAGCTCTATTGTTTGAAACATTATAATAGACGAAAATGGTTCTAAAAGCACATAATAACACAAAATGAGTATAAAATAAAGTGATTTACATTCATTTTTTTTTTTTAATTATTTAAATTCTAATAATTTAATGGCTGTCCTGTGGGATATGTTTTTAGTTCAATGTGTACTGATTTTAAATGTTTTGTATCTTTTCACCATAAGATAACATCAATATTTATTAAAATGGTCAGGTATCGAATTTTCATTTGTGTTTTTTATATCAACATTTTGCAAAATACTGAGTTAGGCGTTTAGCTTCTTGAACTATGAAACTATAAAAAACCCAGGTAATTGATTCTCAAAGTTTTTCACAGTTAGCTGATTAAATATAACAAACAATATGTGCCATTATTAAAACTTTATCTTTATTGACCAGATCAAGTTCTGAGTGGGTCTTTAATTTTTTTTTTCAAACAGATATCAACAAGGTTATATCCCTTTAATCTTCCTGTTCAGGTATTTTAAACTTATGTCTCTTAAAACATCAAAGAAAACAATAAATCATTTTTGTACCAATTCTAAATATAGAAATAACAATCCTACATGTAGTTAATACCAGACATCAAATATGAAATTATTTTCCTGATAAGATATTTATAAATTTGTGGTTTATAATAAAAGCTTATTATTTTATTATTAATAACTTTCATGTGATGTGGCGGAATTATAGTGGCTATTTATCAAAATATTTTAAATTGTATCTCAGGTAGCTAAATGATGAACTTTTTAACTGAATTAAACTAAAAATAAAATTGCCCTATGAACAAGTTATAGGACATTCTAACAAAGTGATTTGATCAATAAATCATTTAAAGATATATGAACTTCATTGATAATTGATACTGTAATTTGGTCAACTACAAAGATTAATTCACCTATAAAAACAAATTAAGAGGTATGACGATTTAAAAATTTGATAAAATAGTTTAATAATTGATGATTTTGCTATATCTGTCACACAGTAGAGGATGACAAATACCAAGTATATTTGCTACTTTATTAGAAATCTAACTTCCTAATCCACAAATAAAAAATCCAGCATGTGTCTTTTATTTTTCCTGATTTTTTATTTGTAAATAGAAGCCTATGCTTATACAGAAAATGTCTTTAACACCGACAACATTTCACTTTTATCTCTGAAAATCAACCAATTGATGTTTGGGGAATTTTCAAAGTGGAACTAGTATCAATCATTTTAATAGTGATTATTCATGTATATCCTGTGCTAATGTATTTACTTATATAATATTACATAAATATTACTTTCATTTCCCTTCACAGTTAAATGCTAATGACTTTATTTTTCCCTGGACTTTCTCAGCCTGACACATTTATTGATATATTTGACAAGATTATTGATATTTCTAATCAAAGAATAATCAATGAGGAAGACAGGAGGTGGATTTATGTTCAAAATATTTCAGCCATTAAATATTAAAGAGATTAACTGTCTCTATGTAAGAGTAGCTTCATCAACTACATGTAATTAATTAATACATGTAAAATTAATGGTCATGTTACTCCAGTAAGTCCAGTCTTACTCATGTATATAAATGTAGTTCGTCTTTGAATGGAGTGAACCACAAAGGTGCTAAATCTGTTTGATAATGGTCAAAATAAAGTTCTGACATGATCTGATGAATTATTTCAATTATGGTTATGATGGAACAAGATCTGTTTGATTAGATTTTTCATTTTGAAAGTTGGTTTGTTTACTCAAGCCTGGAAATATGGCATCTGGTAATACAGATATTGTCAGGTACAAATTCAAGCTTTGTCAAACACAATCCCTCTGGTGCGTGTCATTATGTCAGGCACATATTTTTCTTTTTTCTGTCTTTTTATTGATTTTATTAATACACAGTTCAAAAAGGCATTTATATGACAGTACCCGTTAAACAGTGATGAAATTTTGTCAGGAACATCTAAAATCATTATTTCCAGATCTACCAATTTTGGTTTTGTTTTTTGGTTTAAACTGCCAACTGATGAACATAAAATCATGTTATATCTCAACATTGGCTATATTTGTCGACCTCTCTCTTTCTCTTTCGGACATTAAATACTCTCTCTCTTAAATCTTAAGTTATAATCAATTGTAAGTGATTAATGTCTTGTGAATGATACATATATAAGGAAATAATATAATAGGTTTATATAAAAGTTATAATTACCTGATCTGGAGCTAGATGAGCTATAATAGTAACAACTGTTATACATAGTAATATAGTCAGATAAACCAATAATAATGTCTGTTTAGATTCGATACAATAATTCTGATAGATTTGTTCTAGGTTTAAATCTTTGAACGAAATCTGAAATACAAAAAAAATATCAAAATTCACAGATTAAAATAATGCACATAATTTTTTTTTTAAATTTACAAACTATGATATTTCTTTTCTTCTACAAATTCCGTTAAAACAACTTCTCAATGATGTACAACAATGACGTAAACAAAGTTTATATAAGCATCGAGTGTGGTGATTATTTGAAGACTATAGGCTAACTAAATCAGTCCATATAGTTCTGCAGAAAAATATTTGACCAGTGATTTTGTCCTACAGTGGCAAGTACAATTACTTGGACATTTCTTTTCATAAAGCATCTACCAATGAAACTTTTTATTATTCTGTAAGCTGAGCAGGAAAGAAGTTCATTTTCAAACTTAGTCAAGCTATTGATGTAGTGAAACTATATACCAAGTTTCATCACTTTCAATCAATTAGAATACTTATTGTCTTCCAAAAGTCTCAACCAATCAAACTTCTATCACTCTGCTTAACCTGAGCAGAAAATGCCCATTATCGAACTTAGTTAAGTTATTGATGTAGTGAAACTATACACAAGTTTCATCACTCTCACGTAATTAGAACAAAAGTTATTGTGTTCCAAAGCCACAACTAATCAAATTGCTTATCACCCTGCTTAACTTGAGCAGAAAATGCTCATTATCGAACTTAGTCAAGGTATTGGTGATGGTGAAGTGAAACTATACACCAAGTTTCATCACTCTCACTCAAGTTTCAACCAATCATATTGCTTATCACTCTGCTTAAGCTGAACAGAAAATGCTTATTATGGAACTTAGTCAAGGTATTATTATAATAAAACTTCGAAAAAATCAAATTGTTTATCTCTGCTTAACAAAAGCAGAAAATACTCATCAGATCATCTAACTCAGTCAATGGGTGAACATGCCATCTCATTTAAAGACAGGGTTATTGTGTTCCACAAGGTGTGACAGACAAACAAGCTCATTTCAATGGTGTTCTGCCTTTTCGAAAAGGCAGGGGAAAAGGCAGGGGAAAAGGCAGGAAAAGGCAGGGGAAAAGGCAGGGGACAAGTATAATTTTATGCAAAGTGGAGGAACAATTTAAAATACTGAATTTTAACTATCAATAAAAAGAAAGTTGCAGGACAGTTTAAGTTGCTGAATGCTGACTATGAATAAAACCAAAGTTGGGGGACAATTAAAGAAATGTGTTAGAAGAATTACCTGGGTATTTAATCTAGACCCATGTAAAGTTAACTCGCTACTTAGGTAACCTCTTCAATTAACACTATATAGATATCAATATCTTACCTTAACTTGTTTGATAGAAACTTGATCTGATAATTGGTTGTCTTTATAAGAATTATTATTGGCCGATTTATTCTTTCGATTAGTACTACAACTATCTGTAGAACTGGAAGCCAAGCTAAATATACTGCTACTTCTCTCTGACCCCATGACCCTGCCGGCTAACTACTCTATCTCCTCACACTCTACAATTCCCATATATAAGTACATATTGATGAGCTTCGGACATTGGTAGCTGTCAAATAAAGAAAGAAAAAGAATTGATTATAGTCGACGAACAGTGAAGATAGTAAATAATAAATTGCGTAAATCAATTTTGTAGCTTTATATCTATTGATCACTAGAAATATCTGTTACCTCACTTACGATGCTTTTGTCTATAGGCTTTATGATTTGCACTAGGAACCAAGTTATAGTACTTTAAACACTAAAGATACTTTTGTCTATAGGCTCTATAATTGGTCTTTCAACAGTTGGGTTGCTTATGTCTATTGGCTTTATGATTTGCACTAGAAAGTCATGAATCTTTCAACACTTATATGTCCGTGGGTTCTATGAATTGCACTAAAAATCAAGTCATAGGTTTTTAAGCACTTCGGATACTTAATCTGTTAGCTCTATGATTTGTTCTAGAAACCAAGTGATGGGTGTTTAAACACTTTGGATACGTATGTCTATATGTTCTGTGATCTGCTCTAAAAATCAGCTTATAGGTCCGCAAACCCTTTGAATGGTTTTGTGAACAGTGTCTTTCGATTCATTTCTAAAAACCAAATACCAAGTCCACACACAACAATAAGTCAATCTATATGGTCTCCCATTATTGCCAAAAATCAAATTGTAGCTCCATAAATACTTGGTCTTCTGACTTTGTTGAAAAATACAGTTCCACAAACACATAGAAAGACTTTGTCTTCAGAAACTATAACCTACTGTTCAGTATGTTCACATCAATGGAATGTAACAATATACAATACTATCAACAGGAAATACAGTTTAATTAAAAATCATGGGATTTGGGGTTTTTTAAAACAAGTAATTACAATAATAAAGGTGAGTTTAATTGATGTCACATGTTTTACATATTTTTTATCAAATAAAAACAAGAATGCCATAAATCATATTTTAATCATATTTCTCTGGATAAGGATATTAAAT